GAGACCAACCCGGCAGCACCCCAGATGCTCTGCCCCAGGCGTCCCCAAGAACAGCTGGGATGCTGCCGGGTTGGTTTCGCCACGCCAAGGGTCGGCGCTACCGGACCAACCCAGCAGCACTCCAGCTGCTCTGCTGCAGGCATCCCCGATTCAGCCGCCGCTGAAACTGACCAGCAGAGCCGGACTATCGGAAGGGGGGGCTATGAGAGGTCTGGGGTGGCATCCACCTCACCCCAGACCCCTGATAGCCTCCCCTTCTGATAGTCCAGCATATCTGATAATCTGGCACCCCCTGGGTCCTAAAGGTGCCGGATTATCGGAAGTTTACTGTAATAGTACTTTAAAATATCAAGATATCACTTTTAAGTGCTTTTAGTACAGAGGTAACACTCTTGCCAGGAGAAAGGACGGCCATCTGTTACTTAAACTTTTAACAAGAAGCAATGCTGCTAAGAAATAAGCAACAACTGAGTTGCACAGCACTGCACCTTTGGACAGCCACCTCTGGCTCCATGCCAAGGTTATCTGAACACTTATGATGGAGCAGAATTTAGATCTCACAAGTAAGTGTCCAACTGAATGAACTTTAAAGTCCTTTACAGATCTCCAGTATCAGAACAACTATAAACGTACCTGTTTGCTTGACGGCGTAAGCCTCTCTTCTGCGGACTTTGTGCTAAAAGTCAGTAGATCCTAAAACATGCAGAATGATGCAGCCAGATTAGAGAGTGGAACAAAGTGTTGGAAAGACTTCAGTGTATTATTTTACAAAATAGTTTTACTGCATGAAAAGCTGCCATTTTTGTAAAACAAAAGCAGACACACATCCCCTACTACATATTTTATACAACAAAGCAATAAAAGGGAAAAACCAGAGCCCAAGAGGTAAATTAAAGTTAAGATAGGTCTTTTTGGGAGTAGGAAAAGAGCAAGACAAAATTGCAGGAAGCTAGTAGTTTGATTTAATAACAATGATTTTTAAAAAAATATTTTGCATACACATTATAAATAGCTCATATGATAGTCAGATAAGTGTTAGGCAATAACAGTAATTTTCTTTTCCAGAAAACATAGTATTGCTCTTTCACCTGGCTTAGGGGCAGTAAAAACTAAAAGCAACTGAAGTAGAATCAATAATAATCAGTTAAGGTAAACTGTTTTAGAAATTGAAAACTAATGACATTGTATCTTATACTGGTTGAAAGCAGGAACAACAACCACAAAATACAAGAGGAAGCCCATAACACTGACTGCCAGAAGCCTGGATTTTTATTTCTTGTTCAGATAGTAGAACAATTTTTAAAGTGACAGTTCTCTTATTCCTTCTTCCCTGCCAGTCACTTCTCCTTACCTGTGTTTCAGTCAGGACATAAAGTTGAGATCTGCTTAACCACTGGTGTTTTTCTGAGCCAACTGATTCAGGGACATCTCTTGGAATGAAGACAGCCCACTGGACTCGCTCTCTACAGAGATTTCTCTGGATACAGAATGGCCTTGGCTCATTTGGTTTAAATATAAACACTGGCAAAACAAATATTTTCTGTTTTTAGTAAACAAAAGATTTGTTCCCTCCCAATCCTTCTTGGGATGGACAAGGCCACACATGTCATTTCCATTCAACTAAATGCACACTGAATGGCTAAGATATTACTGCATGCTAGGAGGCACTCATCCCCAAGAACTCACATTTGCCGTCATGGTATTCCCAGCCAAAAAGCAAAAACAAACAACTCCTTCTGCAAAGCAAAAGAGCTACAAATGTTACATTAAGGCTGGACCTACAAGATATACACAGTGAAACCTATGGCTGCTCCATCTGCCCTAAATTTAGGCAGTTTCACACCTAATGTGGAAGGACTAAGAACAGTTCATGCGGAAAAAGTGACTGACCCACATTTGCATTGCCAAAGCAGCAGCCAACAGTGCTCTGGAAAAGATGTGTGGCAGGGGAGCCCTACATACCTGCTAGGGCACAGTTTCCTACAGGCAAAACTTAAGGCACTACAGTCTATTTTATGATTTTTTAAAAACAGGTCTTCAGTAATCAAATATAACAGTCTAGAAACCATGTTTCCAATCTTACAGGTTTCATCATCTTTTGCTAATGAAGAAACCTTTGTACTTACAGTCAGAACTGTCCACGAGCCGTGAGAATGCAGCAATGTTTTCTGAAAGGGGGTCTGGCTGCAGAACCATTATGTTGAGCTGTGCGCTCCATTCCACTAAAAAAAATAAACCACCAGGCATGAAAGGAAGTCAGATGTTTTACTATATAAAAGAAGCCAAATGTGGAAAATGCACCTATAGTGATACATCTGCCTGGAAAACTCAGACAAACTTTAATGTTCACAGGTGAGTACAAACACAAGTAAGTATCAGTCCTGCTATATGAGCAGAAGAGAAAAAGGATTTGAATGTCTAGTCAGTTGGAGTTTGATATGAATGCATTCTGGACTGGAAGGCTTTTTACAAAAATACTAAGATCTGAACTGCATAAACCAGTCATACCTATACTGAATAGGAATGACCCATATTGAATATTTGGAAGCATGAGTTTTTTAAAGCTTAAAACCTGCAATTTTGTGTCTGTTTTAAGCTTTAAAAAACTGACTTAAATGTTCACAGCTGCTGGAAATTATGGGAGAATAAGACAATTTTCTGGCAACAGCAAACATGAAGATGTAAAAAGTTAGCTTTATAATCGTTACACGTTGTCAGCATCACATGGCAAAATATACAACTTAACTACCCTTAAAACGAATACATTTTCAAGTAACATTTTTCTTATTTTGCCAATTGAGGTTTTTTTTGCTGGTTTGATATACAGTGAATTCAATTTAACTGACATTTACTGATAAAAATCTAGTCTTTCCAAGCCTAATCATATTCCAACTCCAAAAATTCTCTTATGAATAAGAATGTAAGTGCAAACATTTCAGCCAAGATTGCTGCAGAGTTTACGGTATGGAATGGTGTCAGATAGTGGAGCAAAGATGGACTACATTATCACATCAAACTTAAATAGGTTAAGTGCCAATGATAGTTCCATATGCCGTTAAGTGGCAGGTCAGTTTGAAATCAAAACTCCAGGTATTCTGGACTACACCAAAAATGTAATTGCTAATTATTATCTGTACTGGTCTAGTGGGTAACACTCACTGATATAATAAAACTGATCTTACATGCACAGCTGAGCAGGTTCCAGCAACAGAGAAAGCCATTATCAGTGGTACCAAGGAGGTATTTGGAACAACTTAGTCTCCCAAAACACAGGTTTCTAAGTGAATAAAAGCCAAAATGAAATTAATAAGCCTTTGATCATCTGTATAATGGCAGATTTATAACTACAAGCAACCACAAAACACACTTTGTTAAACCTTAAATCTTTTTAAATTAAGCCAAATTTCATTAAGTTATCTGCTGTAACAGAATTTAGCCTTCTAGATCCCTCTCTAGTGGCTCAGTAAGAAATAAAAGTAAACATTCTGAAAGTGTTATAGTCTTAAAAAGCTCATCAGAAAAACAGCTGTGACATACTTACAATATTCTTTGTAACACCCTGATATAAAAGAAAGGTCATGGTAAATCTCATCCTACAATGGTCGCTATAAGTAATAAGTCAATCATGGGTATTAAAGTCACAGTATAATAAAAAAATATTTAAAGCATTTCTCCGGTTACTAAAGATTTTCTTTTTCAGTTTTACTATTCTAATTTACTTTTCACCACTAATACTGTTTCCATCTTTCAGACTGGTGAGTAAAATTAGGCTGGTCTGTTTCTAGTCAATATTAATTTCTGGTTCTCTTTCACTAATACAATTAAAGAAAATCTTGATTTCAAGTATTTTTGTTTTTAGAAATCTTACACAGGCTTTTTAATATTAATTAGAAACTAAAAGTTTGTGAGTTTAAAAATAATTATTCTAGGTCTAATGTAAATGGCAGTTCCCTTTAATTACAACATAACTGTCCACTATATACAATTAAGGACATACAAATGATTGACTAGCCTGCAGAAAATTTACCATTGTAGCAGCATGCAGACCATAAAGGTTCTAGTACACCCAAAAAGAAAAAAAAATGTTCTGGGTTAACAGATTACAGATTTAACCTGAAAGCTGGTCAGTTATTTAAAGAGAGTTTAACAGTGTGGGTAACCTGTCCCTGAATTTTCCTGCCAGCTTCTGTCATTTTACTGCCACATATTTCTCAATTTCGTTTCCCCATCATGTGAAACCCACATGAAATGGACTATACAGATAGAAAACATGACATTGACTAGAAAAAGTGAAAATGGCAATTACAGTATTTCATGAACACCAACAAGTAAAAACAATATTGAGTTTTGCATTTAGTTGACATGGCCCCTTTAATAGAGCCATAAAAATATTCATTTTCAATAATTTGTTACAAAATAGTTACACCTCAACAAGAAGAGTACTTGACAGCAGTACTATGCTACCATCCCCAAGTACTGACAGACAATAATTCCAAGAAAAATGTCAGTTTTAGACAATCTTCACAGAATATAAGTTCCCATATGACAGAAGTGTGATACTTTGGCAACCACATATTCAGCACTCATATAATTATGAGATGTTTTGTACAAAGTATGCTTTGTGAAGTATTCTAAAAGTCTTGATCTGTTAGATAATGTCTTGCTGGATTGTACATGAAATTATGGAGTTTAGCTATGTGCTACTAAAACTTGTTGGTGAGTTGAGAACACCTACAAGCAGCTTTTCAGGTACAACAATAAAAAGGCCAATGCTGATAAGCTTACAGATAAAATATGCATAAGTACAAGGATTACCCCAGGAACTAGGTACAACAGAAAACTTTCAGAGATAGCACTAGACAATGGGAACTGTTTGGCACACATTACAGCAAAAGAGCTTTCTAGCAAGTGGGAATAAGATACTGAAAAAGGAACTGACATGGCTGCCACCAAATGCCTCCCAAGAGAACACCCGGAAACACTGGAGGAACAGACTGAACTGGGAAAGTCCTGGCTCTAGGCTAAAAGGATTGCCAGCCTATGTATGGAAACTTGATAAACTGCTTGACCATCAATAAGGGGAACTGGATATTGCCAATTCAAATTCTATCTAGTATATTAGGCTTTGTTTGTGTTTTTGTTTATTTGTTAGCCAATCTGCTTTCAACTGTTTGCTAGCAGTTAAAAGCAATTACAATCTAAATTTCTGTAATTAATAAACTTGTTTTATTTTACTAGTGAGTTTTTGAATGAAGTGTTTGGAAATCCTAGCTCTTGAAACAAAAGCTGTTGCTTATCTTCCCCACATTGAGGGGGAGCAAATATTAATTAACGAACTTGCACTGTATGAATCCATATTCAGTACATGATAGCATAATTCTGAGTCTATACTCCACTAGGGATGCAAGGCCAGAGAGCTGGGAAGCTGGCTGGGAGCATCCTGTTTCTCCATGAGAGACTTAGGTAAAGCAAAATCTACAGGGGGTAGCAAAGTTAGTCTGCATAGGATAAACTTAAAAACCAACAAATAGTCTGGTAGCACTTTAAAGACTAACAAAACATGTAGATGATAGCATGAGGACTCAGGTAACTCATTTTGGTGTGCAGTGCCATCTGCTGTCCTGCTGGGCAATAACAGGGCCTGAAGAGTGAAAAAAGAGGCGGGCGATGAACTTTAACCCCTTCTCTCTTAGCTCCTTACTGCAGAATAATGGGAATAAAGCAGAGACAAAAATACTCAGTAGTAGCTATGTGCACTGAGTCAAGCGAAGTTGGCAGGAGTAGATAGTGAAGGAATACGAGTCACACAAGAGAGATGAAAGGGTAAAAAACAGCAGATGGAGCTAGGTGCACTGATCTTCACTTGGGAGAAGTTACTGAAAAAACTTTTAGCAAAACAGCTTTAAATAAATATTGTAACAATTGTTTTTAATATTTACAACTCTGAAAACTCGTAAGTAGATTTATACAAACGCAAATATTTAATCTCTGTATGAATACATACCAGTGCTCAACTAATACCTTTAAGTAAAAAAAGACAAATGATAAACAATTGTCACATACCGTATTTTTCCAGGAGGATGACAAAATGTGCATTTAAGATCCCAGGTATCCGAGTCCCACACAGTGACTGTTCTTTCAAAGCTAACAGCAAGCAAAGAGCCATCTTCTGAGAAGCAGCAGGTATTAGCTGGGTAGTTATGATAACTGCCCACAAAATCACAGCTCCATCCCATACTTGGTTCTGTTAGATTGAATCATTAACATGTTTTTGTTTATTAGTTGTCTGTATTAAAACTTCTAAACAGAACTGAGCAGCATTTCTGTTAAGAAGCCATTCAGATTCTCTATTTACATTTGAAAGCTGTACATATTTACAGGGTTTTAAAAAGCTCTCTCATATGCCACTCTAGAAAATGCCCAGCAAGTGTTCCATTATTAAGATTCTATACTTCTACCACTAATTCAAGACATCATGGAATTTGCACATTTGCAATGTTTTTGGTTCAATATGCAAACTACAGAAAATAGAACTTTTAAAAAGTGAGTGCTAGAAATATCTCATTTTAATTCCTGTCACCATGTGGAAAGGTGATCAGTATCATCAATGAAAATGAACACTCTTTAAAAGTACCAGACATTTCAGGCTAAAGAAACTTGAGGCTATTTCTAAAATATAAGTGTTCGATTACCTATACTTGATTTTTACTAAACCTTATTGCACATTAGGGATGTTAAAATGCAGGTAATTGGGTAACTGCATAACCACTGAAAATCTCAGCAGTTAAATGCACCTGCAGAGTTAACTTCTCCCTCAGAAGAGATGTGCACTGTAAGCAGGCTTTTAAGCCTGATTCTGGTGATACTGGCTCCGCTGGCAGTCCTGCTCCCCGGGACCTAGTGCTTGCCTGGAGCCCTGGCTCCCTTGGAACTTGCTCTTAGATTATACCCATGTCAGCATATTTAGGCATTGTACAAGCACTAAATCCAATGATTCAGAAAAATTTACTACGGTAAACAAAAACCAGCGCAAGAAAAAAGGTAATCCATGTAATCTAATGGTATCAGAAAAAAAAATCTCCATTTATCCATGAGAATTAAAACAAAATGAACACAATCAAAATGCAAGCAGATTGCTGAAAGGTTGCTGTGGAAAACTCATATTTGAGAACCTGTGGACTGTCAGGAAAGTTACACATACTTCATTTTGACTATTATGGCAACACAAGTACAGGCTGAACCTCTCTAGTCTGGCATGATTTTAGTTATCATGAGTGTGGCCAAGTTTCCTGCAGTCCATAAAGTTTGTTTACAGCCACCAGTCCTGGCTCTTAGGGTACGTCTAGACTACAGGTTTTTGTCGACAGAGTATGTGTCGACAGATACTGTCGACAAAGCTTCACTACATCCAGTTCTGTCGACAAAGCAAGCTGTAGACGCAAAGGATGGTGTAGATGCAATAACGCCTTCTGTCGACAGAACTCTGTCAACAAAAGGTGTTATTCCTCGCAGAATGAGGTTTACCACCATCTACAAAACTGCCGAGTTCTGTCGATATAACGTTGCCAGAACTAGGCGCAAGTGTAGACGCAGGTATAACTTTGTCGACAAAATCCACTTTTGTCAACAACCCTGTAGTCTAGACACACCCTTAGTGTTATAACCTGTTATTTAGCTCTAATTTATCCCTAAATGTCTTCTAACATCCCAGTAAGCATGGAAGTGTTGCTAATGCTACTAGCTAATATTGATCTCTCATGGCTCGGCAAATTCTTTGGTTCAGCACTGGTCAGATCCCACGGGTGCCAAACTAGAGAGGTTCAATCTATACAAAGAAGTGCATTAATGGGATGCCCTTATATCCATGAGTTAGAAAGGTTATGGGATGTTACACACCCCCTGAAGTCCTTAGCTTTTATTAATGTTACAATGAGTCTCAACATGATTTTTGGTGGGTGAAGTGTCTTCAGTTTTTCACATTTTCTCATCCATGCAATCAACACAAATATATTCTATCTGCATTTTAAGGATGCAGAGTTTAACATATGCACGCAGGAATGAATGAGAATTTAACTACAAGGTACTGTAAACTCAGTTTTCTATTATGTGGGAACAGATCAAGTCAATTAAACAAGAATACCACTCATGAGCAAAGCTTTGTATACGAGGACTTGGCCCAACAAACAAAAAAAGTCCTCCCATCAACAAAGTAAAGGCTGGATTGCAGTCATTCACATGAGCTGTGGATGGAGGTCACAGTTTCCTTCCGCACAGGGCAGTTGCTCTCAACCCTTTGCAAACTACTGTATCCCTTCCAGGAATCTGATTTTTGTTTTGTACCCCACAGCCTCATCTCCCTTAAAAACTACTTGGTTACAAAATCAGACATACAAATGCAAAAAAAGCATCACAATACACTAATACTTAGAAACTGCTCACTCATTAGGGATGTTTAAATAGCATATAATTCGATAGTTGTGTCACTGCATGAAATTTTAGCGGTTACACAACTATTCAATAGCCCCTGGAGGTAGGGCTGGCAGCCAGCGTGCTCCTGGCCCCACTCCCAGGGAACCCTCCCGCCCATGCTGAACTGCAGCCTCTGTATCAGAGGCAGCAACACAGGGTGCCAGGGTGAGAGCTGCTCCGCCTGCCACCTCACCCTGCTGCAGAATATTTTTTGTGTGTGTGTGTGTGTGTGTGTGTGTTGGGAGGGGGGAGAGGGGGAAGGTGGAGAAAAAGAGAGAGAGAGCAGGCAGCTCCTGCCTCACCCTCCTACCTCTGAAGGAGGCAGCAAGGGGGAGGGAGCACCTGCCCCTCTGTTGCTTCTGATACAGAGGCAGCAAGGCAGTGGGGGAGGGAATGCGTGTAGTCTACACCTTGATATCCCTATTACTCACTGTATGAAATTTTAGTTTATACTGATTTTGCTAGTATTGTTTATGTATCCTGTTGTAAAATCAGACAAACATCTAGATGAGTTGATGTACTCCTTGGAAGACTGCCACATACTCGAGTGGTATGCATATCCCTAGTTGGGAACCAATGGTAGAGGGCTTTGGGCTAGTGTGATCCATGCATTTATGTTCCTATCACACCTCTAACTTGCCTACATTCCTAAGTATGATAAATGATGCAAAATGTGACTGAACTCTGTACTGGGCACACAGAAGAGAATGATGTACTGTGAGGCACTGATCCTGTGCACTCGTGTATGGATGGAGAAGATTGGAGTCACTATTTCCACATGTTCAACAGGTAGCAAATAAAAGTAAATTATGTATTGGCCATACTCACTCTCTGCGTCAGAGTCATTCTCTAACACCCAGACTTTAAATCGACCATCCTTGCCAGCTGTTACCAAGGTAGGAGTTCTATCTTCCAATTCATCTGTGTCACGGAAACACAGAGCTGTTACATGACCTTCGTGTGGCATATTTATTCTGGTGTTCAGAGTAAAACTATAGGGACCAAACCAAAGAAAAAAAATCACTGTCTCATTTTGATTTTTCATCAAGTTTATGTTCTTTTTTATGGGGGGGAGGAGGGGAAGATCAAGAGGGAGGAAGAAGAAAGATGGTGATTTGGAAAAAGGAAAAGTGGTTTGACCAGAATTTTGTTGTCAGTCAACGTGTAAACTCATATTTAGTTTACTAGGTCTATACTCCCTCATTCCCCTTCTCCTCAATTACAAAGTAATTCAGAAACATACCCACTAGAAGTGCTTGCCCTAAATTCTGGGAACCACTTCTAATTTAAGTTTTTACTCCAATACTGTAACTATCATGCCAAACAACTGTGTGTGACATCTATTCAGTGCTCTCCAAAATGAGCAAGAAAAAAGGTGAGCTTTATGGTTGCTCAGAAGATTAACAAATCCAGCCCAAGAAGATCAGGTAAATATTGGCACTAGGGTACTGTTTCAAGATTTTACATTTTCATACAATGTATCTGGCCACAGGGATAGTAGATTAGAATGATAAAACAGATTCAAGTAGATAGTATTAACATGTAAAGAAACCAACTGCTACTGGAGCATAAAAATTGTTTAAACTGTTAATTTCAAGAACTAGAATTCAAATAAGTGTGATGAACAATTCATATGCGAAAGTGCTATTTAAATATACACACTATAGTCATCTGCACAATATTTAACAAGAAGTGTAGTTTACCCACAGGGGTATCAGTACCTTTGTGTTTGCTCATCATAGTTCCACAGTTTCATCTGTAATTCAAGTTCCGTTTCCTTTTCTTCTCGCTGTTCCACTGTTGCCAACCAACTGCCTCGAGTACTAAATGCAGCCTTCACCAATTCAACCTGGTTTAGACCTACTTGATGGATATATTACTGCTGCACAATATCGATGAGTCACAAGAGCAAAACTAATTTTAAATTTCAAGTGAGAGTTTGGAAAAAAAATCAGTCATGGAACAAAGGACAACCATGAAAGGAAAGATGTTCTGGAAATTATCAGGACCATAGAAAACTAGATGGCATACTGAACTGAATCATGGAACTGATTGCCAAACTTGGCTTTAATACACGAAAAATGCCTGGAAAAGCCATGAAGTATCCCCAATTCAGAAGATGTAACACCACACCAAAATACAGTTTGATTTCAATAGGTAGCTCATAAAGGCACCAATCACCATTATGTAGAACAGTTGTTCTCAACCTTTTCTTTCTGAGGCCCTCCCGACATGCTATAAATATTCCATCATCGACCTGTGCCACAACTGGGTTTCTACATAGAAAAGGGTCCATGTAATGGGGTAGCAATCAGAGCAACTACCCAGTATCCCATGCCACACAGGGAGACACAAAGCCAAGTTGCTCAGGCCTCCACTTCAGCCCCAGGCCGGTCAGCGCAGGGCACCAAGCTTCTGCTCCATCAGGGGGATTTTGGCTTTTTGCCCGGGACCCCAGCAAATCTAACACTAGTTCTTTTGACAGACCTCCTGAAACATGCTCAAGATCTCACCAGGGGTCCTGAACTCCTGCTCGAGAATCATTTTCTGTAGAGACCTGACAATCTTATTCTCATTACACTCAGTTCCAGATTGTCCATCACAGTAAGAATTGAGATTAGTTTTCTAAGGCATAGCTTTAAAGAAACAATTCAACAAATCCTACTTTGTTTATATATTAGAACACTGCATTTCTGTAATATTCTCATCACATTGCAACACTGCAAGTCAAGGCATAGAAATGATTTTACTAAGTTTACAGAGGAAGTCTATTGCAAAGCTGAGAACAGAATTAAGGATGTTAAATTCAGATTAATCAACTAATTGAGTAGTCGATGCAATTTGCATCAACTATTCAATTAGTTGATAAGGACACCTCTGTCTTTGAAATGTAGCAAGAGCTGTCAGGGCTCTTGCTACATTTCAAAGGGGAAAGCATGGCAGGGAGCATGAGACCATCAGGGGACTCGAGCAGTCCCCTTTGGCCATGCACTCCCTGCTTTTGAAATGTGCAAGAGTCCCCCTCCAGGGTTCTTGCACATTTCAAAAGCAGGGAGCGCAGGATCAGCGGGGGGCTGCTTGAGTCCCCTGCTCACCCCCTGCTCCTGTGGCGCTTCTGCTTTTGAAATGTAGTAAGAGCCCTGCCCACCCCCCCCAAACAAAGCTGGGGAACCGGCTTTTAAGCTGGCTCCGCTTATTGGATAGGCAACTAGTCTCTTACATCCCTCAATAGAACTCTGCTCTAATGATTCCAATCTTATGCTGTATTACCACTGAGCTACTCTTTCCAACCTGCCTTATATTGCAAGTGTAATTCTGTCACATAAGTGACTGCAGAAACAATGTATAACTTACCACACCAATCTATGCAACTTACATTGTACAACTGTTTGTCAGTTTTGAGACAATAGAACTGCACATGACCAGGTTTTCCATTCAGAACCAAAGCTTTAGTTCTAGGATCAACCACCAAACCAGTCTTGACATCACTGCCTGCAGAGAACAGAAAATGAATGAAGTTAGACAGTTATGTCTTTAGCCATCTAAGAAGAAGAAAAGTTCTGTTTCAGTGCACATACCTTTGACTAATCCTTGAATTACAGCAGAAACGCGCAGGTTGCTGTGTATAATTGTTATTTCTGCATGTAAAAATTAATACAAAATTAACAAAGCAAGGCTTACGTGATGTAAAAAGCAACAGTTAGCTATTTCTACAGCTTTTTCCAGGATAAGCATCCAGCTATTATTCGTCTTTAAGAAATCATTCTACTACTAAACTAGAAATGTAACACATGTACACTAAATATCAGAGCCTTGAAAACGATCTAGAAAGTAAGCAGCACAAGGATGTTTCAAAGAAGAGAGATGTACCAGCTTATCACAATCTTTGTGACCAACTACCACTCTAGAAAAACTAATTGCAAGGTTCCACAATCTGTAAACAAAATCCAACTCTTGATAACATAGGAAATAAAAGATTAAAGATCTACTCTTTCAGAAGAGTTGTGAACTTGTGTACAATACCAATCACTGAATCTGAAGTTCATAAACTCTAATAAATCTATGGTTCGTGAATTCCTTATGGAATTAATACTATAACAATAGGCTTGTGCTTACTGTTTTCTGAGTGAGAGGTACAATAGAAAGATCCATCTAGTGAGGCAGAAATGTGTTCAATAGTAGATCCCAAACGGGGCAGGAATTCCTTCTTACAATCTGATCCATCACGCCACTGAACCAGTACAGACTCAACCCCACCACTCAGCAGGCTGTTACCTTCACATGCAATACAAAACCCAATAGTTAGAGCAACTATTTTGAAATAACATCTCTATATTTCTAGTGTACTAGGATAGCTAGACACCAATTCTATATTTAAGTTTTTTAAATTATATCTGGAGCAAACAAATTATACATCACTGCTAAGACTGGTCAAATCTCTTAACTTGTCTGACCTCTCACACTCAGTAAGACAAATGCTGCTGCTGCAATCATCAAAAGGGTTTTTAATAAATCCCCAGGAACAGCTAATTTAATTCATTTCTTGGGACAGTCAGCTAACTATATTTTGCACTACAACACAGCAGAAACTTTCTATTTAATATTAAATACTGCAAAATGCTTCCTGCTTGAGAGGAAAGGCTAGAAACAAGATCTATAGTGTGTGGCAGAGTCATGTTCCACAAAAAAGTTTTTCCACTATATTCAAAGAAAGTAAAGCGTGAGCCCATATAAGATTTCTTTGACTTGGTTTTTTAAAATTTGGATTTGACTCCAATAAGAACTCACATTTCGCTACATCCTCACAAAATAATCGTCACTTAATAAAGGTGACAGCTGGTTCAAGATTTACATTGCTTAAGAAGGAAAATCTTTGAAGCTATGTCTGTCAGCCAAAATATTGGCATGAAACATGCTTACACATCTGATTTCCTTACTTTTGTGGAACAAGTATACAGCTGTGTACACAAAAAAGCCACAACTGCTTCCACCTTTCTATTACTCCACCCAAAAAGTCCTCAAAAAGCCTTTCCTAGAAATATGAGTTCATTCCTAGAATTGAAACATTTGTTCAAGATGGAGGACTCTAAACTTCAGCAATTTCTTTTTTGTTCCTGCATTTTAAGACGTTTGCACTCACCCTCCACAGAAAAAGCTAAATCCATGACTTGATCATGGTGCCAGTGCAACGTGGAGAAAGTGTATTCTCTTTTGTGGTTAAAATTTCTCCTGTTAGGAAGAAAACATTTACTTTAGTAGCAGAATAGGTGTAAGGGAAAATAAGCAAACAAAAACCGGCATGCCAAATTGAATAAAATATAAGGTAAGTCTGCCAACATCTAACATAATCCTTCCAATGCAGGTCTCTTATATGTTTAGGTTATACAAAGTGAATGGAAGCTACGTGCAAGTCATCTGCTTGCACAAACTATGAACTAGGTGACCCAAGCTAGCAGAAGGTTCCTAGGGAATTGTTGCCAGTTGAGGCAAGTTAGACCTGTCCCTCAACTGGACCTCTGAAGCAGAGAGCTGTTACCAGTCGCTAGTTCTCAAATTCTCTTTTCTATATCTCCTGGGTGGCTACATAAGAGAGAGGAACTAGCCTCTCTGTTAGTCAATGACTAGCTTTGTCTGAGTGCTGTTGCTGGGGTTCCAAAAGACTGGTAAAGAAGTCTCATCTCCACAGATAACAGGAACAAACCCAATTCAAACACTTCAGTTTTAAAGTTGCAGGGTGCAACTATGGGGCATTTTTGGATCATATGCCAATTAGTCAAAATAGAGGCCAGTCACAATTTAGGGTTTGAGGGCCACAGGATGGCTGTCCCTGACAACCTCCTAATTATAATCACTTCTGATTATGGTAAGGGAGAATGCTAACTACAGAGAATTATGTCAATGCCTGATCACTACTGACAAGCAGAAAGTCCTGTGCCTAATTTCGTGACTCATTATGTTCGAGTTCTATTAAACTAGAAAGTCAAAACTGGGTAGGTATCAGGTTTAACATACCAGAGACGAATCTTGCCATCTTTATGTCCACTGGCTATACAGTCTTCTTTAGGGTGACAAGCTACACAAGTAAAATAGTTGTTTGCACCTTTTCTACTTGTTGCACTTAAAGGAAACCTTCAAAAATTAAAGAGTAGTTTTAATTATAATTCAATGCAAGATGAAACTTGATGGTCTTCATATGTATTCTAGCTGCAGCTAGGGCTATGTCAAAGAAAGACAGCACAATCATTGCACAAATACAAATTAAAAAGATAGCTTTGTCTGCACATGGGATTCCAAGGAGTGAGCAATTGTTGAAGCACTTCTGACTAGGGATGTAATTGTATAGCTGGTTAACCAATTAACCGATAAGCAAAAGCTTATAGGTTAATACTATAGACTACACATATTTGCCCCCCAACCCTTGCCAGTACATTTTTTAGCAAGCTGTCCGCAGGCCAGCTCAGTCCCGGCTTGCACTGGATCCTGATCCTACCCCCGGTTAAACGTGGCTCTGCATTTAAAGTGTATTAGGAGCAAGGTGGGCAGGCAGTCCTGCTCAGTTTCGACTTGCACTGGGTCCGGGAGCTCAAGCCCCTCCCACCTAGAGGCTGCCCGGGGACTATAGAATAGTCGACTAACGAATAAGAATTCATAATCTATTAGAAAATTAACCGATATTTAAGATCCCTATCCGTGAGCTACAAGACAGTTGATAAAAGTTAGGTGCATCCTTCCTAAGAAAAGGACAAACACCATCCCCACTTAACCTGCTAGATTCTTCCAACAACAACAAAAAATCCACACATGCAACAGCATTTGCATCTCATCCAGAACTTAGGCAAACAACCTAATTTAAGTCCCTGTTTCAATCAAGCAATAGAAAAGTGATGACACTACGATCTGGGATCAAACTAAGAGATGCTTTGAATCTCACACACAAGCGATGACACTGCAGCCCCAACTGCCTCTGTTCTCCCTCTTCCCAACAACCACAGACACACATTAAACCAGGAGAGAGGGTCAGAACAAAATTTTGAAGAATTTTACAAGAAAGAATTGGTCAGGTGGATGAGCAGTTATTCAGCATTACTTGTTAGGATTTCAGAAATTAAAACAAAGTCATTCACAAGGAATCTCATTTACCTATGCAATTGAATTAATGGTATCAAAGGCTGCTGATGGAGAAAAAATAATCTGTATACAGTTGACCAATTAATATCCAGAATAGGGATGTAATCAACAGTTGACTACCTGATAAGCATATGCTTATTGGGCAGCAGAGTAGTGACTCAACTAGTCACCGCCTCTATCAGAGAGAGGCAGCAAGGTGCACGGGAACAGGAGCCGGTGCTGGAGGGAGCCAGCTTAAAAGCTGGTCCCACCCCAGTACCATCTCCGGAGAGAGTGGGCAGGGGAAGTAGAGGTGCAGCGGGGATCCCCACTCATGCCAGTCCCACTGCTGTGCCACTCCCTGCTTGAGTCCCTGCTCCACCTCTGCCTTTGAAACGCAGCCCCACAGGGCTCTTGCTACATTTCAAAGTAAGAGGCAGTAGAACCTCAGGTGAGTGGGGACTGCTTGAGTCCTTGCTCTGCCTCTTAAATGTACTAAGAGTCATAGACAGCTCTTACTACATTTAAAAGGCTACCCCCCCTGCGCCTCTGCGAGCGCCCAACTCCACTTCTTATCGACTAATTGAAATGTAACATTCCTAACCCAGAACACACATTTATGAGGGTTCATAGCTGAAATCATCTACAGTCGTAAGTCTTACCTGTTAATCTTCTTCTTTTTGAAAAAATAAACAAGGAGATGAAGACCACGCACTGATGCCACATATTCACCCTGTTACAGAAATATAGCTGTAGTAAGATGAGGGCCTGAAACAAAAGCCCATGTCACACAGGCCTGGTTTGAGACCTGAGGTCTAGCTAAAAAAGGACAAAACATGGCTAATATAAAGCAAAGGCCCCTGCTCACAGAACTTGGCATGAACAGGGCTGAGAGTGTAAAACACTAACTGATAATAGGCCAAGAAACGACTAGATATTTCCCCTATCTACTGGAATGCACTAATTATAGCCATGCAATCCCAGAGAAGTATGTACTGAAAAACGTCTGTGGAATCTCTTGGTGTGTGCATATATGCATTACTGTGAGGCTGCATATGAAAGGTAGTTTGGGATACTGACACAAGCCCTTTTTCATGTAGAAAAATAGTTTAGTGCTATAAGAATTCCATTAATTTATGCCAGAACCAGGAGTTTATACTTAATTTTATTCCCATGACAAACTAAGGATGTTAAGGGAGAGGGGGCGCTTGCTATCCCTGCTGCGCCTCTACCGTTGAAATGTATTAAGAGCCACCCACGGCTCTTGCTACATTTCAAAGGCAGAGGTGCAGTGTGGGGGAACGGACAGGGGAGACAGAGGTGCAGTAGTCAGGACCTGTCACAAGTGGGGACTGCTTTGGTCACCACTTGTGCTGGGTTCCCCGCTGCACCTCTGCCTCCCCTGTCCGTTTCCTCCCACACCACAAAAACGGTTCCTGAGGGAGCTGGCTTTTAATACATTTAAAAGGCTGGTGCGCATCGGGGGATGGAGAGAGGACGGGAGACCTGTGTAAGTGGGGAATCAGCTGACCAGGCTTGCGCTGGGTCCCTCCTGCTGTGATTTAGCCTTTTAAATATATTAAGAGCTGACAGGTTGTTAATACATTTAAAAGGCTGTCTCAGTGGGGTTACTTACTGGGCCGGGAGCTAACTCTGTTGCGGTTCCCCTGCTTATTGTCTAATAGAGGGGGGGGGAAAAAAAAAATCAATCGACTAGTCGATTAGTTGAGTAAACTAAATTTAACATCCCTACTTCACCTTGCTGCCTCTTATAGAGACAGCAAGCAAAGCACAAGGTGGGGAATGTGAGTAGTTGACTACTCTTTTAGATCCCTACAACACACACAAATGAAGACACAAATATTGAATTTCCATACTCCTCCTGTTTTGAGGTATGCTATGAAAAATACACTTAAGCTTCTGTAACTCTTCTATAAAAGCAAAGGATCCATTAAGCTACACAGGCTCTGAAACATGAGGAGGAATAGCATCTCCTTATATAACAAATCTGAAAAAAAGTGGTTCCGTGGCACCTTAGAGACTAACAAAAATATATAGGATCATGAGTTTTTGTGGGTAAGACCCACTTCATTAGATGAGTTGGAATGGAAATAACAGAGTCCAAGATACTATATATCTAAATAACAGCAAAAGTAGTACCTGTCAATTGTAGGACCTCTGTAATGAAGCTAATTAAATGGTACTTTTGCTGTTACTGGTATACTAGGAGACAATGCCCCCTGATCGCCAACCTCCTTCTTTGGGGACAGGTGGCAGCCCCGGCTCCCGCACTGCTCTCGGAGAGGGCCAGGCCGAGATGTGGCAGCCCTGGCCTGCCCCAGATCTTTCCCCCAGCTGCTGAGAGCCCCCAAGGCCAGCTCAGCTCCAGCTTCCCCACCACGGCTGGTGGGGAGTTTAGTCGGGCTAAGTCTGGCCTGGTTCGCTCCCTCTGGCTGCTGGGGGGATAGGGCCAAAGACATGCCAGGCTCTTCCCCCCAGCCGCCAGGGAGGCCTCCCCACCCCTCCTCACCTGCCACTAGGGAGGATCTTTGGCCATTCTGGCTCTTCCCTCCTCCACAGAGGCTGAAGCCATCCTGTTTCTATCCTCCCCAGCAGAGGCTGAGGCCTCCCAGGCCCTTCACCCCCAACCCCTGCGTCTTTGCCCCCCTCTCTCTCCCGGACACTGAGGAGGGAGGACCAAAGCCTGGCCATGCCTCCAGCTGCGACGGCGAAGGCCTCCCGCCTCCCAGCTCCCAGCCCCTCTTCAGAGCACCAGGGAAGCTGCAAGGCTGCTGCCCCACTACCCGGAGCTCTGGGGAGACCATGTGGCTGCTTTCCGCTCCAGCACCAGGGAGGCTAGGGCCCTCAGCACTGGTAAGGGAGGCCTGGTGGCTGAGGGAGGAGAGGCTGCAGGACAGAAAGATATGTGATTATGTCACTGTCATCCCACAGGAATTTTTTATTTACACACACACACACACACACACACACACAGAAGTACCACTTAATTAGCTTAACTCAGGTACTTTTGTTGTTGTACATATCTTGAATTCTATTATTTCCATTCCAACTGATTTGATGGAGTGGGTCTTAGCCACGAAAGCTCATGATCCTATATATTTTTGTTAGTCTCTGAGGATGTGTACACACCACAGAAAAGATTGAAGCTGCCACAGTCGATCTTCCAGGGTTCGAATTAGTGGGTCTAGTGAAGACAGTAATTTGAACTGAGAGGACGCTCCAGTCGATGCTGGTAGTCTTGCTTCCATGAGGAGTAAGGGAAGTCAAAAGGAGAGTATGTTCTCTTCAACTTCCTGCAGTGTGGACAGTGCCAACATTCGAATTCGGGTACTTTGACTTCAGCTACGCAATTAAAGTAATTATCTAATTCAACCTTATCCTGTAGTGTAGACATAGCCTCAGGTGCCAGCTGACTACTTGTTTTTAAAGTTACAGACTAACATGGCTACCCTCTGAAACTTTACAGCAAATCTGGTTTGAGTAAGTAAGAAATATAGTAAAAGTTTATTTCTGTCACTAGTTATACTCCTGTGGGCACTGAAGAGCAAGCTGATTCTATTCTATTTCACAAGTGAAAAATCATCTAAATGCTAACTGTATAATATTCACTGTCTGTAGCAATGCAATACCCAGGGAAACATCTCCCATCTGCACCCTTCAAATAGCTTGATTTTATATTTCATGGTCACCTTGTAAGATTGCTGTTTTGGAACATTTCATCCTCACTTAAAAAAGCCACCTCTCAACAGTTTTTTTTTAAATGTAAGCTTACATCTGAGCAGAGAGTAACAAACAGAGAACTCCACAACATTATTTTCACAGTCTTTTGTTTTTAGAGTACAAATGCAATGTTAGTTCATCTTTAGGTGCATTAGAGATAAAAATGTTAGGGCAGAACCCAATATTAATTCTTTAGATGTGTTTGTTCCCATTTTCCCCAAAGGCCAAATGCTCTTTTTGGTACATATTATAATTTTTTAAAACATAATTTTAAAAAGAGGAAGGTGTGTAGCTAACGAATTAAAAAAAGTTATTGCATTACCTGACTTTTGCTACTGCTCTGAGACAAAGTTGGTCATCTAATCAGAACCTTTTTTTTCTTTAACTGGGAAAGAGCCAAAATTTTGCAAACAGACAATATTCTGGATCCAACACGTTCAGCACACATTTTCAACTAACAAAAAAGCCTTTACGTCCAAAGCGTACTGTATGCCGAGTACAAGACTTGTGATTATCTTCAATCCAAAGAAAAGGACATTTTACTGGATTAAGTGGTTGAAATTCTGCAATTTTCCTTAATTTTTTTCCCTAATGAAATGAAATTGTGTTGCAGGACATACTTTTCCAACTCATCAGCAATCCTGATCTTACATGAAATTATGAAGAATAGATGGTGCTGGATGTCAAATTTGTTGAGGCAAGCTTTTTGAGATCAGTGGTTTGCAGTTAAGAAGAAAAGTTAGGATTCATAAAAGGACACAATCCACTTCTTTGAGTGATTACTTGGTTAAAGATACTTTTTTGTATACCAGACTAAACACAATGTGGTTAATACATTTTATATGGAAGAAAAACATCTAAAAAGGTAAATATACTTCTCTTCCAAACGCAGTACATTTGGGCGACTGGCCTATATCATCCAAAATCAAAGACAGATCCTTGGCTTCCACTTCTTGGTCTGGTGTTTTTGGCAGTTTCACAGAAGCAAGCTGGAATGAATCTGGTCAAATAATGAGTCTGGTTGGTTAATAAAATAGTTTTGTGGATGACGTTATAGCACAAATATATGTTCAAAAGGAGAGTATGTGGGTGCACCTGTTATCCTAGATATAAAATACATACTAGCTCCTTTCAGTGTTGTTTTGGATGCATGCTTAAAGATGTATACTTATGGATGAAGTTATGACACCTTTATATTTTTGTCTGAGATGTTTCTGTGCCAAGCTGCTACACAGACAGATGAGATCTAGATTTTTCCATAGTGGTTTCCTGCATAGCAAGCAGAAACCAATCCAAATTACATAGATTTGTTCCTCTGAAGCAGCATTCATAGAAGTATTATGCAAGTGAAGTTATATATCATATTTGTTCTCTCAGACTTTGAATAGTTGAATTTATGTCATTACTAAAACTGGTCAATTTTTCACCATTACTTTTTCAACAGGAAAATGCTCATTTGTTGAAACTGAAACTTTCTATAGAAACAGAGCAAGAACTTGGGTCTTCCATATCCCTGGTGAGTTGCTACTGGCTATACAGGCATGAAAAGTTTTGAAAAGTTTAGTTATTGTTCTAATGCAAAATGAAAACAAACATGGAAATCTCTAAGTTTTCCACAAAACCAAGCTCTTGTTTTGTTGCCAGCCTTACCTGATGCTGGTTATTGTAAAGCTGTAGCTTTTAGTACAGTAACATGATCTAAGAATAAACTTAGAAATGTAAATAATGTAAATGTAACCAGTGTTCCCTCTAAGCTGTGCAACAGCACAGCTTCATAGGTGATTAATCAGCCTTGCCCAGATAGTCAGCTCTGTGCAGGAAGCCCTGAGCCTCTGACTGGGTGGGCCTGATTAATCACCTGTGAAGCTGTGCAAATTAGAGGGAACACTGGTCATGAGAGTCAAATTAGGTCTACTATAACATTAGGTAAGTATGGCAAAAGTGTCTGGAAGTTTAAGGTTATGCTTTGATACAATCAAAATTCAAAAAGTGAAAATACTAAATTGCACATATATGACCATAGTTTCCACAAGATACAACACGCTAATACAACAATGGTTAAGGGACCTATTTAAAGGACGCTTTCAATATAACTTACTTTATCTGCTATTGGCATACTTTTTTACATTTCATTCAGCATGAACAGTGAAACCAAACTGGATAAGTTCTGATCAAGAGCACCAACACAGTATTGTTGTGTATAGAGTCCATTTTATATCAATGGAAGGGTTAAATAAAATTTTCATTTCCACAGAATCAGATTTTGTAAGTCTTTTTTCTTCTGGTTTTGGGGGGAGGAATGGGAGGCAAAGAATTACAAAACAGGACCTAAACTGAATTAGCAGTCCTTTAAACATTCAAGCATGCTAAAAATTACACTGCAACGAAGTATGAACTGAAGTTAATTATACCATACCTGATGCATCCTCATTTTTCCTTGGAATTATAACGAATACTGAACCCTCAGAATCAGCAAGCATATAGAATGCATAAAGTTTGTATCCAACAACAAAAGTCTGGAAAAAAGTAGTTATGAAAGGAGAAGTTCATATTAGTTGGGCAATTGTCAATTATGCTGAAGTTCTCCTATGTCAGGGGTGGGCAATAATTTTTAAAGGGGGGGGGGCCACTTTACAAATTTCTTAAGTAGCCCTGGGCTGGGGCCTCAGGTGGAAGGTGCAGGGCCAGGAGGCTTCTTGTGCTCCCCAGTCCAAAGAACCTGATTGGCACGTGAAGTCTTTGGCCCCCACCCCTGCTCTGCCAAGGGCATGTGGTGGCTAGAGAAAACTGCCAGCTGGCGAGGGCAGGAGACTTCATGCACTCTCCTGTCCCCAGGGCTCCACTATGGGCTGGATCAACTGTGTTGGTGGGATGGATTTGGCTCACAGAGGCTCTCTTGCCCACCCATGTCCTACACTCAGATACTGAACAGTTTACCACTTAATCAGAGATTCTTTTTGATCATGTGCCTCGTTGCTTTTTTAAGAACGTTTGATAAAAGCTTGTAGATTATCCTTGTCAATTTTGAAGTAAAAAATCCCCCCAAAACACTATTTTGGTTAGAAACTATTACAGAGCAATAGGCTTGTTCAGCAGTATTTGTATTGCTTGAAATACCACATTTTACCGGGCAGGCTGAAGGTAACACCTCTGCTACATAGTGAGGTGGAAGAAAGCCAGAGTGTGCCTATTCCTCTTTCACTTTCCAAGGCAGGAGTTCTCTTCAGCCCAGAAACAGTAGGATAGAGCTGGCAATCACAACAACCCAAGATTACATTTCCAAGGGGCACATTCAGCACTGAGTCTGACATCACAAACTGCAATATGTGTAAATGCAATCTTAAACCCTCATTGTTCCTGCTTATAGGAGAGGCAAAATACAGTTCAGCATGCATCCCACAATAAACATCTGTCTGCATCTTTTTACAGCTGCTCCCAGTAAAGTTTTGGTCCCAAGCCTTGGATTTGAACAGCAGCCCTCAAACTGTTCTCTTTGGACCAAAGATAACCTGTAAAGCTCTTCACTAACCTCAGAAATAAACATTTGAGAAGTAAGCAGTGGAGGAATTGAAATATTAAGAGACGAGGTGGTTCATGAGAGAAGCCATGTAAAATGAAATAATAGGCTATAACTTCAATTACTTAAAAGTTGTCCTTCCCCATTCTTCTCCACCCAATGGGGCAGGGAAGAACATGCAAACTCTCAGCCAAAGACAGAGGGAGGAACTGCCAGAGTCAATCAACTACCTAAAATTAGGCAGGAAGAAGAGCTACACTGCACAGAAAAAAAAAATCACAGGCCTCTGTGTATATAACTCTTCCTCCCTCCTTTCTTTGGCCTACCAATTTTAGGAAAAAATATTGGATAGCTTCTCGACTAGACTTCATCTTCACACAACTGGTGAAGTGTCAAGTAACACTGATGACTTTCCGATAACCGTGGGTTCAGTGTACTAATATTTAAGAAGGGACTGCATACTTCATTAGGTATGGGTCATCAAAAATGCCACTTCAGGCTCTAGCAAGAGGTCAGCAAATTTTTCTTGCCCTTAGAGTGAAAGACCTGCTCAGGGACAAAATATAAATTGAATTAACAATCGCTGCTTTTGACGCCAAGGTTTATGTTTAACTCCACTAAAAGCATCATTAAGCTGAATTTGGACCTGTGTGTTTTGTTCAGCCCTAGTATTTATTTAATTGATGCTCACGAGAGAACAATTCTGAAATCCATAAACATCTGTGACAGAAAAAACCCCCAAAACTATTGACATACTTTAATGAGAATTCCGTCTGTGAAGTCCCAGAGTTTAATGGTGCCATCTAAAGAGCAAGAATACAGCTGGAAAGGAAAAACAAAAGTTATAAACAGAAATCAAATAGCAAAACACTAGGACAACAATTTTACACAAAACAAGACCCTCAAGTTAGGGTCTTAGATTTTTATTTGGGCACATAAGTGGCTGGCTTTTGAAAAGTTCTAAGGATCAAGATCCAGTTGTCTTCTAACAAAATACACATTCTGCTATTCTAGTTTGACATACAATTTTGAAATATATGGTTTGAGACTGTGTTCTTATTTCGTATTTCAATGTCACATAAAAGTTACCTAGCATGTGAATGTTTATACACATTTACAATTCACATGCAGGCATGTGGATGCACAGAACTTCACAGTCCGCTTCTACAAGTGGGCCCAGATTTTATGAACAGCAACAAAAATGCAAAACAAAGCCAACTCCAAACCACCTCAATTTTTCTTTTTTAGATATATAATGTAACTCAAAGCTGAAAATTGAAGCATTCTCCACTCTTTTCTCCTAACCCCACAAGATAAAAATCTCATCTCTAAGTTTTGCCTCTGCATCCTCTAAGTTAGTGTTTCTCAAAGTGGTCAGTGGGTCCACTTTGAGAAAGCTGCTATCAGGACACTCCGGTTGGTTTACGTACATACTGTTGCTTTCCTTGGCTATAAACGGCAAACTGCAGCCAATGGGAGCCATGAGGCTCTGTGGATGTGGAAGCAGCAAGTAAACAAACCGGAGTGGCCCAGCAGCAGCTCTTTCAGAGTGGGTGCACGGAAAGCAGTAAGAAACACTGCTTTAAGATGATGGGTGGAGATAATGTGTACCCTCAAGTTCCTCAGTGGGTTACTATAAATAGTGTACTTGGAAGAAAAAATCAGAATTAACTCAAATATTTAAAGTGCTGTTGATAATGCAAATATATTGTCAAGCACCCAAGTTTTGAAAGATACGCACACTCTATAGTTATACTAAGTAGTGTGTACATGTAGGGAGAGAGATGTGTAATGAGGACAAAAGTTTATTAGAGTTACCAATATGTATGCATAATGGCATCGCACAAACAGATCAGAAATAAGTTTCTTCACAGTTTAATTGGGTTCACTGCAAGTGCTATGGACCATGCAGCCCATGCAGAGTTTGGCACTTGAGTGGTGATTAGGAAATCCCTAAGCTGTGCACTGCTCACAATACCTCCTGAGAACAAGCTGGGGATTAGCTAAGCCTGCTCCTACTCCAGATATAACCCTGGCATGTGTCCTGCACCAGGGTATACCTTATAGCTGCCGTGTGACACTTTTCTCCTCCCATCCTTTTTATATAGCTGGCACAGTGGGCCCTAGGACACTGATGAATCAAGTCCTACTGCTAATATTGGCAATTATCAAAGATGCACACATGCTAGATTAAAGGAACCATTGTTGGTTTGCTGACCTGAGTGAGTGATCTAACCATCTCTGCTTTTAGAAAAAGCTTCCACTTAGTAAATTAGAATAATCTGATGGTTATAGCAATAAATCCATTAACTAATATGAGTATTTACTGTTTCAGTCTAAGTAAACAGCAGCTAGTTCAATAATTTTAAAAGAAATAATTATTCCCAGCTACCTCATAAAATACATTACTTTGTGTCCTGAACTGCCAACATTCAAATATTATTTCCTTAAATAAATCAGGAAAAAACCAAATACAGGCAGTCCCCTGGTTACATGGATCCGACTTACATCGGATCCCTACTTACAAACAGGGTGAGGCAACCCCGCTCTAGCTGCTTCCCCCCAGCAGACCAGGGAGACGCGAAGCTAGCGCCCCCCGCCCTGCCCCCGCAGACCAGGGAGACACGGAGCAGCTTCTCTCAACAGACACCTCAGCTTGAGAATAAAGGACTAAGGGAAGTGAGGTGTGGGAGAATAAAACTGAGCTCTGGAGAAATGTTTGGCTAGAGTTTCCCCAACAATATGTACCAGTTCCGACTTACATACAAATTCAACTTAAGAACAAACCTACAGTCCCTATCTTGTACGTAACCCGGGGACTGCCTGTACCTAGCTAGACAGGAATCACAATTACAAAGATTTAATAACCTGCATGTGGTTTTGCGGGTTAAGTTGGATTCCTGTCACCAGGTTTGAGTGACCCTGCAGGACGTGTACACATTCTTCAGTAACTGTGCTGTACACTTTCACGTAGTCTCCTGAGGCACATAAAAGGTACCTGAAAAGATGATGAAACAAAAGGTTAATATGATAATTCTGGATAAAAATATTACATTTTAGGTTTATCAAGGGTCATGACTACTTTGAATTTACAAAGTACTGAACATGAAAAATGTAGGCCTTTTCTCCCAGAGATGACTCCATTTTTGGAACTTTGCTTTCCATTGTTTGTACAGATTTATTTACTTAATCATTAAATGTAGCGGAAAAACAAATAGACCAGATTTAACCTGCAGTTGCAAAGGCAGGAAAGTTACTCTTTTATATATTTTAATTCTTGTTAAAGGTGCTGCTGGTTTGATCACCTTGAAAAACCTGTATCAGAACAGATAAAATATGTATGCTATTTATTTACATCTCCCCCTTTGATAATATCAGTATCTGCTAAATGTATAGTACTTTGCCTGGTCTTGCTTTTGGCCAAACAATAAAGATCAACTAATTTTCTCCAAAGCTCAAGTTTCTAAGACTCTCACACTCTCAGCACCTGTATTTTACAAGTTAAAAAAAAATATCAAAACAAAAATGACATTTCTATACAGAATTTATAAGCACTGGAAGAAGGGCATTCTTTCGTTCTTTATGAAACTTCAGCATGCTACAGTTAAACTATTTTCTAATGCTCCATCAATTTTCTTTTGATACTGTCACTGGTTGTTTCATTATCTCCAACTAAAAGTCAAAATAAGCCATGCATGCAACTCTTATAGCTACTCTGCACAATTGCTTGCCACTCTTAACAGCTGCAGAAGACCTATTTCATTTATGCTATTCCATCCCATACTTCTGAAACAAGTCTATTTTACAAGTCTCCTTAACTCTTCCCACCCTCTTTAGTTTTTTGCAGGCCAGAATATAATAAAGTGATCATGTGACACTAAAAATAGGAAAATCAGCAGACAAGCTTAAAACAATATGTGCCTACACATTCATGATTACGTTTTGATTTCCAGCCCTTGATAATATGTTGCCAAAGGCTGCATACTCAGCCAAGGAGTGGGCAGAGAAGGCCGGTTCTGGAATGGACATGCCCACTACATTTCAAAATAACTATTTCAATATGGTTATGGATAAAACCTGTTATTAAATCTGGCTAAGGAAACGTGTGTTGTAAAGAAAGACCCTGACTAGCAAATAGGACAAGGAGGAATGGAGTAGGGAGGCTATCAGGTTCAAAAACTAAATTAACAGAATAAGGGAAAATTTTTAATAAAGGCCTCTGACCAACAGAGGTGCCAGAAAAATAGTTTTGAATATGACAGAAAGAACCTGTTTTAAGAGTCAACATGTACCTCCCCATCCCACATACCAAAGTTATCTTAAGCATTAAGCCTACCAGGTGCAACAAAAAAATAAAACAAAACTAACCTGTTGATCAGCAAGGAGGGTAGAGATAAAGAGAATAGGCTTTGGGGGAAGTTGCAAATCTTGTCTGGATTAAAATTTGAAACAGAGGTACAGGGCCTCAAACTGGTTTTTAGTTGAAGTGTTATTGGCAATGACATCACTTGTTCATTAAAGGGCATAAAAAGTAAACTCCTAAAGGGTTCATTGCTAACACCTGCCTGATAAAGTTGGCACCAGCCAACCTGGGACAAAGCTAAAGTAATGTTATTTAAGTAAATATGTAACCACTGAAAATGTCAAGTGTTTACATATTTACACGTGGGGAGGCTGCGGCTCCATGGGAGACAGTACGTATAGGGAGCAAGCTTAAAAGGTGGCTCCATTCACCCACTAGCTCTCCCCTACCCACATCTTCCTACGTTGCTGACTCTATATCAGCTACAGCAGGGAGGGGAGAAGCTTAAAAGCTGGCTCCACACCCATAGCGGCTCCAGAATCCGCCTCCCTCCGCCTCTGGACACATCGGTTCACCTTCCTGGTTACAACCCCCCATCCGCGGGAAACACGCAGCTCCAGCGGAGGTCCCCAGGGCTGCCGGGTGCCACGGCAAGGAACCTGCAAGACCCCGGCACGGCGAGGCTGCCCGGAGCTGGGGGCGCCCAGCCCGGCTCGGGACAGAGGCAGGGCGGGTCTCCCCTCGCTCCGGCTGCTCGGGTCGCGCCGGGGGCCCACGCAGGCTCAGAGCGCCACTCGCAGCCCCAGGCGAGCCCCGCCTGGAGCCGTTAGACGCGGGCCACCAGGGCTCCCCGCCGGGGCCTGGGCCGTGTGGCGCCCGGCGGAGCGGCCTCCACACACCGCGCTCCCACCCCCAGCCTCGCGCCACCCGCTCCCGCGAATCGCCCCCCGCCCTCACTTGGCATCGGCGGAGAACGCCGCTCTGGCGCCGCTCAACTTGCTGCCGCCGCAGCGCACCACGCGGAGCGGCTCCTGCGCCACCATCTTCCCGCTGCGAAACCTTCCGCCTTCGACCTCTCACCCCTACCGCGCGCGCGCGTGTGTGTGTGTGTAGGTAGACATTCCGCCATCTTAGCTATGGGCAAACGGGCCGCCCTCCGTTCCTTTCAAGCACACAGGGCAGCGTTCGGAGCACTACCGCCCTTAGTTTACAGGAGGACCGGAAACTCTTAATGAGCCTTTCCAGAGCTAGCATGTCACAGGTGAGCGCGCGCATGCGCCACGCTTGGCTTTTTCCGCCTGAGGAGATGGGTGAGGGGCGGGGCACGAAGGCGGGGGAGTGGGTGTGGCGAGAGGACAGCAGCGGCTGTCAGAGGACAAGCGCAGGCGTCCTTGCTGCCGTGGTGCGCGCGGTCGGTTGCTATGGTAACTGAGAGGCAACCCTTCCGCCCTGGTTCTATTGACCTAATCCCTGTAGCCTAGGGATGCTAAATATGGACTAATCGAATAGTCGATGCGTTTTGCAGGGACTGTCCCATTGGTTGCTAGGGCGAGTCCGCCTTTGAAGTGTAGCAACAAACAGACTGAAGGCTGCTGCTACACTCCGAAGGTGAAAGCGCTCCATGGAGCCCAGGGGTAGCTGGGGAGCCCCCCGTGGGCCCAAGGCTCCCGCAGCGCTGACACCTTGAAACGCCACATGCAGCCTGGGGTCACCCCAGCTGGCCCCGGGCTGCACGCGGTGTTTCAAACTGGCAGCGTCACATGGAGCCCAGGGTCTGGCCCCAGGCTTCCAGTGGCGTTGCCGCTTTGAAGTAACCCCCGGCTTGCTGCCTCTTTCTGAGAGAGACAGTAAGGGGGGGGATGGAGGGGAAAGTGACAAGGGCTTATTGGATAGTCGCCTAGTGCTTCACATCCCTAGGTCAAAGGTCTTCCATGGCAGTCCCTGATCCGATAGGTGGGAGAAGCTCTCCCAGTGTATCTAGGCATCTTTATGCATGGTCTTATAGGAACTTGCTCTGGAAAGCATTACCCAGAATATAATCAATTAAGTCCTGTTAAAGTAACACAGTTGTAGGCACAAAGCTTAGAACGGGCTACATATAACCAAGCTCAAATGTGTAAAACATGTGCATGCCCTGGATCAGAGATAAATGAAGCAAGGTCAAATTAATATAGGATTAAAAGCATTGCTCCTTTTGTTAAAATATCACTAAGCAGTGAAGTGTGTTGAAGCAAACTTCCCCACTTTCTTTAATAATTTACAGTTAAATGATCCTTTGGGTCTAACTGCTAGGTAATAAGAGGCTCTAAAAAAGAATTTATTACAAGAAGTGTGAAGCGTAATTTATTTTAAAAATAAGCAACCAGAAAGCTGATGCTTCATTATTTCTTCCCCCTTCTCCCCAGCCCTCTACTGTCCCAGGCCCCACTCGAAACTGAGCACATCCAGGACCACGGACCTAAGGTGGCAGACTTTTGCGGGCCAGGCGACACCCTCAGCCCTAAACCTCCCTCCCTCCTCCAATTAAAGAGACTTTGTTATATTTACAAGAAAGTTTATTCTTGATAACATTTTGAAAACAGTTTTATTTTATTAGTAAATGCTATTCTTTGCACACTGTTTGATGGTTTTTTAATACACATAATGTTTTTGACAGAAACCCAGGTGTGTGTGTGTGTGAACTGTCTGGAGACTGGTGCAGGGATGGGTTGTGGGAGGAAAGATCTTGCGGGGGACTCAGGCCACAGGCCCTATGGGGGGGGGGGGCCCTGGGGAGAGTCATTGGGATCCTGCTGAGAAACTCTCATGCAGGGCCTCCCAGATGCAGACCCCCACCCGCAGCTGTCCGGGGCTGCTCAAATGCCTCCCCTCGATATCAGCCTGTGTCCCCCACCCTGGGAGGAAGGCCTCCCCTTTGCCCTCCATCAGGTTGTGGAGGACACAGCACGCAGCCACCACCTCAAGGATATTGCATTTCCCCCATGTCCAGGCAAATGAGCAGATACCTAAACCTCCCCTTCAGCCAGCCAAAGACGCATTCCACCTGCAAACGTGCCCGGGTTAGGTGAGTGTTAAATTGTTCCCTGCTCACGTCCAGATGGCCAGTGTAGGGCTTCATGAGCCAGGGCATAAGGGAGTATGCTGCATCGACCACAATGCAGATTGGCATCTCCACGTCCCCAACAGCAAAGTTTCGCTGTGTGAAGAATGTTCCAGCCTGCAGACCCCCAAGACCCCAGGGGCTCCCCTCTCAGGCGGCCCTCCCAGCAGTAGGGCAAGGTGAGGCCAGGAGCTCGCCCCCACTCCCTCTGCCCTTTCCTGTTACACTCCTCCTACCTCGCATGGACTGTCTCCCGAGAGGGTCTTACCTCCATCAACACAGCACCAACAGTAGATCTTCCCATGCCAAACTGGTGTCCCACCGAATGGTAGCTGTCGGGGATGGCCAGCTTCCAGAGGGCAATAGCCACCCTCTTCTCCAGGGGGATGGTGGGGTGCATGTGGGTGTCCTATCATTGCAGGGCAGGAGCAAGCCAGGCACACAGCTCCTGGAAGGTGGCCTCATGCATTCTGAAGTTTCAGAGCCAAGCCTGGTCATCTCACCGCTCCATGACGAGCCAGTCCCACCAGTGTGAACTTGTCTCCAGCCTCCAAAATCGCCTCTCCTGGAAGAAGTTCGGTGGCAAGGACAGTGTTGCTGCAGCCTGAGCGAGGGGCTCAAGGCTGGGTTCTGAATCCAGACCTGGCATGAGCATCATGAAGGTCTCATGGAGGTATAGCAGAACTTGAAGTATTACAGTGTGGGGCCATCGCCTGCCCAGGGGCAGCTCTGGCTCCATGGCAAAAAAAAAAAAAAAAAAAAAAAAAAAATTGTAAAACACAAATACCAATCAAAAATCACACTTCTGTAGTGTCCCAGAAAGCAGGACACTCAAAGCAAGCACTGTAGAAGCTTTGCTGTCCCTCTAGGAGGTAGGCAAGCCAGCTGCAGCAGCAGAGGAAAGGCTGTCCAGGGGGGTCCCTTTAAGCATGTGTGTCTGCAAAAAGCATGCTGCAGGACCCGGAAATAAAGGCTGCCCCCATGTCCCGGCAGAAGTTGTTCCGTGTGCCCTTTTTCTGACAGAGCATCCAGACAGTCTGGATGCTCTTTTTCAAAAAAGCCGATCACTTTTTCGATCCACTTAGTGCAATCTAGACCCTCTTTTCCGAAAGAGGCTTTTTTGAAAGTATTTTTTGAAAAAACCTCTTTCGAAAAAGGCGTGTAGTCTAGACATAGCCTATCTGCCTTGGGTTGGTGGTGGGCGTCCTCATCAAGGGCACTTCCAGATACCCATGGGGGGCAGTGTGGGGAGCTGAAAGCCTGGATGCTCAAATCCGATGGCAGCTTCCTGCTGGGAGCCCAGCTCTCTCACAAGATCCCAGGCTGCCTGCCACCTCCACTCCCCATTTCCTGCTTCTCATCTCTCCTCTGGGAACAGGCTGGAATCTGCCAGGGGCTTCTCACTCCTGAGGTGTGGGGCATTTTGGCTGTAGCTGCCCAGCTTTCTTGCCAATATCATGGCTCCTGATGTAAGTAATGCAGTGTCTGTGCTACAGAGATTTAAGTCTTATGTTTCTCATGGTGAAATTATGATGTCAGTGTAGTGGGGCACTTTTACCTGTACTGTAGACACTAACATAATTAGGTCAACATAAGCTGCTTTATGTCCACTTGTTTAGTATAGACCAGCCCTTTTCTCCCTGTTTTATCTTCTCTTCCCTTTTTCAGTTCTGTTCCCATCTTTCCTTAACCCTTGCACTGTCTCATTTTTCACCACATTCATATTTTTAAGACAATAAATTACACATTTTGCATCCTAGGAATAAAAGAAACCCCATTAAAATGCAAATCAAAGATCTGATCCTCTAAACCCTTTTTTCACATGCTATTTTCTATTTATATTTTTATTAAGAATAAGTGTGAGATTTAGGACTCATTTATCCTAAAAATGCAATGAAGGGTCACGACCCAATGCAGGCATCAACTGACAATTCCCCCCTCCCTGTTTCATTTAAAAAAAATGTCTAGAAGTTGCAGTTTATTTATCCTCAAAGGTGTAGTTGCAGTGAAATAAGTTGTGTGATCGTTTTATTTTTAATCCTTGTCAGATCTGTCTTTTATTACTTAGAGTCACAATCTGCTTTTTTTAAGTGGAAAAAGCAATCACTTTTGAACAGCTTTCATGGTGGTTTTGAAATCCACACTTCAAAAACATATGGTCAGTGCTCTATGCATAACTTACCTTGTCAGGGCATTTTTTGTTAATTCAGGGTCTGGCTTCACAGCATATAAAGGTTACCCTATTAATGTTTTTACATGAAAGTTCATAGTTTGCATAACCATGAATTGCTTGTGTGAAGAGCCTCTGTAGTTATTCAAAACAACCATAATACCACAAAAATCTGGAAAATCTGTTCATGCTGGATCATCCCAGGCAGAACTAACCAAAAATGTCATTAATCACAAAGATGGTTTGATGATCAGTGCAATGGATAAGCCAGCTGCAGCAGTGTAAGAGTAGAAAGAACAAAATACTATATACTTAGCGTTTCACAGATGCTGAACAAACAGAACGACCTTTAGTATTTATCTTTTCAATGTCAATAGGTAGGATTCTTCTGTGTTACTGCTCTGTGTCCCAAAAATATAATAAACTGAAATTGAAAAGCAGGGATAATGATGGAGGATTTTCAGTTATTTTTGAGGCATATCCTTTCCCTGATTTTAAACTATGGGAAGGATATGACACAACTGATAACTGATGTCATGTCATGGCCAGAATGTAGCTGTATGATGTTTCTTGCTTCACTGGCATGTCCCACAGAAGAGTGTAATTTTTAGATATGTTGAGAATTTCTGCTCATTCCCTCACAATGCTATAAAGCCATTTAAAAGAAAATAATAGCATGTTGCTCATCTTAGACTTCTGGCATTTAACATGAGAACCACCACGTGGTATAGAATTGTCATTATCCACATTGCTAGGTACATCTTTATCTCAGGCTAGGTCTAGACTACAGTCCTTTGTTGGAAAAAGCTACATAAATTGCGCTTTTCCTATCGCTTTTCCGGAAGAGGCTTTTCCATCATTTGGCCCCACCTCCGTTTTCAGAGGAGCCCTTATTCCTCATAGAACGAGGTATACAGGGCTCCCTGAAAGAGCACGTTTGCTCTTCTGCAGAAAAAGAGGAAGAGCAAATGTGTTCTCTGGACACGGCCGAGTTTTTCTGGGATACCTTTCCGGGATAGCCCTTATTGATTATTCTATTAGTTAATTAATCTAAATTTAACATCCCTAGTGGGTAATTGGCTAATAGTGTAGTCGATACAATTTGTATCGACTACATGATTAGTCAATAAGGGAAGGCGCTCTGACTTGGCTCGCACTGGGTCCAGGAGCTACCACTATTGTTGCTCTGCCGTTTAAATGCAGTAGGAGCCGGGCTGCCTGAGCAAACCTGGCTCAATCCCAGCTTGCACCAGGTCTGGGACCTACCCCTGTTGTGGCTCTGCAGTTTAATCATAGTAAGAGCCAGGCCGGCTCTTACTACATTTCAAATGCAGAGCTGCAATGGTTCCGAACCCTGCGCGAGCGGGGACTGCTTAGTCCTAGCTTGCGCCGGGTCCAGGAGCTACCCCCTCTGCTACTCTGCATTTTAAATGTAGTAAGAGCCAGCTGTGAACACAAGCTACTCCGGCAGCAGCCCCTGCCCATGGGGGGTGGGAGGTCCCAGCTCTCTGATAGGACTCCACCCCATCATGGACAGAGGCTCCTAAGTGTGATAAAGAGCAGCTTCTGCGCATGGTGAAACTGGGCCTGCCGTGGACAGATGCTGTTTTGCAGCAGCCTCCTCTGTCTCCCCACATGCTACTGCCTAGAGGCAGCAGCATGGGGAGTGGGGCAGGCAGCAACCAGAGATGGTTCTGTGCGGAGCCATCTTTTAAGCCAGCTCCACCCAGCACTGGCTCCTGCTTCCCCACCCTTCCTTGCTGCCTCTGTATCAGAGGCAGAAAGGTGGAGAGGAAATGTGAGTAGTTGAGTAGTCCATTGCTCAACTAGTTGCTTGCATCCCTGTTATGAATCATGGGCAGTGTGCATGAGTGCACAAGTAATTTAACAGTAAGTGAGCTGAAGAGAGGCCTTTCTGAGGTCCAGGCAAGAGCCCCGGAGGATTATGGACTTGTTTACATCTTTAAGAAAAAGGACTGTGTGAAATGAAAGAACTGTGTATGTGTGCTGAGGCAGCATTTCCAGATAAGAAAAAGTAACAAGGGAAGAATCTAACGAAGGACAGACTATTGTTTCTCACTCGTGGTGAGGCAAGCAAAATTGGGTGGTGCAGAAACTGGGTGCTTCTGGATTGTTTGTGGACACACCAGTAAAAAGAAAGGGGTGTCACTAATGGACATCACCCCATCTGGACTGTGTGCAGCCAGTGGATGGCATCCCACTCAACTGGACCCTGCCGAGGGAATATATACCACACCATTTTGCCCCACAAGTTGGAGTCCATTGATTCGGCATGTTGGGATGACGTGCACATCAGACTTCCGCCTCAACCAAATTAACCAACATTACCTGGGATCTGGCCAGCCACACAAGTGTGTGTGTGTGTGTGGGGGGGGGGACTACGTCTAGACTGGCATGATTTTCCGCAAATGCTTTTAAATGGATGCTTTTCCGCAAAAGCACTTTTTGCGGAAAAGCATCCGTGCCAATCTAGACGTGGTTTTGTGCAAAACCCTGATCGCCATTTTCGCGATTGGGGCTTTTTTGCGCAAAACAATACCGCGTTGTCTACACTGGCCCTCTTGTGCAAATTCAATCGGCCAGTGTTGATAGTTGCCAAGTTTTTCCGCAAAAGCACCTGCTTTTGCGGAAAAACTTGCCAGTCTAGACGCAGCCTGTGTGTTAAATTGAATTAAGAATTAGGGTAATAATTGGGTTAAGGATTAGATGTAGATTGTTAATTATTCCATTTAAATATTGCTTTTAATGCCTTTTCATGCTTGTGATGCTTATAATGTCTTTTAATGCTGTTTTAATTGCTTAGTACAAAATGTATATATATATATAGTGTTTTTAAAACTGCTCCTGAATTGCGAGCAATAAAACTTGTTAAAAGTATGTTTAAGATACTGTGGAAGACTCTTTTGTTCTGTGAATGCTGAACCATATGCGTAGTGTAATATGCTTGATCAACTGGATCACAGCGCCTCCTTGTGACATCCCTACTTTCCACATCCATCTTTTTCAGGTGAGTGCCTAACTAGCAAGGTAGAAAGTCATTCTCGTTCCCTCTCCCTCCTCCTCTGGCCCAAAGACTGTTCAAGCATTTTATACAATGGCTGTCAAGACTACATCCGTCTTTCGAAAGTGGGATGTAAATTAGGCAAATCAAAAGTGCAAATTAAGCGGGGATTTAAATATCCGCCCTTCATTTGCATAATGGCATCTGAGCACTTTTTTGAAAAAGGGTTTTTCCAAAGTTAAAGCACCGTCAGTGGACCAGAGAGACGCGGAGCGGCTTTTCTCGCCGCGGCCTTGCTCCGCATCTCCCTGGTCTCCTGGGGGAGGTTTTTTCAAAGGCAGCATTGGCAAGCCGCCGCTTTTTTTCATTTTAATTTTCTGTTTATTTTTTTTTAATCAAGAAATGGAGTCAGGGCTCAGAAGAGCATTGGCAGAGGCAGAAAGACTGCGGGGAGAGGGGGCGGAGCCCGCATACAGATGAGCCCGGGGGCTGGCGGAGGCTGCTGGGAAGGGAGGAAGGAAGGCGGGAGGGAGGGAGGCGAGCGGGGCGCCGCCCAGAGGGCCCCCGGCGCCCCACCACCACCCGGGCCTCCCTGCTGCGAGGGAGGGGAGGCCGGAGGAGGCGCGCGGGGTGGGTGAGTCGGTCGGTCTCGGTGCGGTCGCCGTGAGCGAGGAGAGGGCGGCGGGCGGTGAGTGAGCGGGCGGGACTTAGAAAATTTCTATTCCCCCGCGCTGGGGGGAGGTAAGCTCGAGGAACCCGGACCGGGTTCCTGTTTGAAGATCGCCTGATTAAGCAACCGCCGTGGGATCGAATCCTTTGCTCCGTGGGACCCGATGGGATCCAGCCCTTTTTAGGGCTTCCGACACCAAGACTCTGCAATCAACAGCCTTATTTCTAGGCACCTCGGAAACCGCTCTGGAGGTAAAAGCCTCCAGTTGTGGTGCAGTTTTTGTTTTTTGTTTTTGGCCTGGAAGGGATTTAAACCCCTACTGCGGTTTTTCTGCCGGCCACTCTACAGCTGATCTGCAATCAGCTGTTCAGGCCCCACCCAGGCACGTCTTTTGAGACTGCCTATTGGTGGAGGCTCTTCTGCTGCCTTAAAGCAACAGCTGCTCTCTCCTTTTTGCTACACTGGATCCTCTGCTATCGGCTGTGGATCTCCTCCGCTGGATCTGGACCTTCCTGCTGCCTTTGGACCTGTCCCTGCCTCCTGCTCCTGCTTCCTGGGACCTGCTCTGGACCTGCTCCTGTCTCCTGAGACCTGCTCTGGACCTGCTCCTGCAGGCTTGCCCCAGGATGTCAAGTACAACCAGTGCACCTGCAAACTTTTGTTCCACACCGATGCATTTATAACGGTGGCAACTCCTAGCAAGTCTTTGTACATCAAATCAATCTCACAGGTGTTGCACAGCTAGCAGAGTGGGTGGGATGTCATATTTTTCTCAAAGCATCCCAAACAAAGTGACATGACTTTAAAACTAAGATTTTCATAACTGCCAGCTAGCCATGATTTGGGTCTTGAGAGTCAAATTGGGCTCTCTTCTTCCTCTTTGTTATCAGCAGTCCAAGTAATAAAAGACAAATCAGACCCTGAGATGCAACTTCACTCTCACCCAATTACCCATCAGCCCCAGTGACGTTAATGGTTTGCACAGACATAACATCCATCACAACAAATAGAAGAGAAGTTGCAAGTCTTCAATACAAAATAAATACATCAGGTTTATGATAGAATATGAAGCATTTGTATGTACTCAAAAATTTTGACAACATCCTTCAAGCCACTCAACATTTATTATATAAACAGAAAGATTACATTGGTACATAGCTGAAAACATCTCTAAAATAGTGCCAAAGTTTCTTGATTCCATTTCATAGTCTTAAAAGAATAACAATGCAAAGCAGATCAACCACAGCATTACAAGTGAGGCACTGCTGAGAGCACAATGCATGTGGATGGGTTCATTTCCATTTTAGTCTGTCTCAAAAACCATCTCAAACTAGCATGGTTCTGCAAAAGAGTTTGCTAGCAAGAACAGCCTTTAAGCACAACCTCCCTTTACTTTTCTTAAACCCTCTTATTCCAATATTAATCAGCAGATCTTTAACTTAAAACATAAAACCACATTTACTATTGACATTTTAAGGATAAATAAAAAGCTTTACTTTAAAAAGAGAAACTGGGCAAAATGTGGGAACTTGGGGATTAGTCAGAATTTTAAATAAACATGTTCAAGTAGGCAACTGATTCTGATTGGTGGGCAAAGAGAAGCTGCTCCTGGCTAACCTTGTCAATAAACGTGTTTTACCATACCTGATCAATCCAAGCCTGAAAATCTGATTTCCTTAGATGAACAAATGCTTCCATTGGAATATTGCCACAGAACACATTCACCCACGAGTAGTAATACCTACTGCAGATAATATTACTGCTTTTATTTTAAAATAAAGTTGCAACTTTCAAAAAAAGAAGCTTGTTAGAAGCTGAAAAACAGCACCTGCTCAAGAATTCCTCAATGCTTCTGTGTTATTTAAAAACAAAAATACATACACTTGGCTATCTGCAATATTTTATTCCACATAACAAGGGAGCAGCTCTTTCAGTATATCTCCCTAAACAGTCAACATAACAAAACTTAATCCAGAAAAGACAGAATCCCCTTCTACAGAGCATTATTCAGAGACCAGGAAGCTTACGGATTCTTGAAAACAAGAACAATGCTCCAACTGTTTCTTAAACAGGAAGCAAATATCTGTGGGCAGCTAAGAGGCTCAAAAGGCAACAACATAATGAAAAAAACCCAAACAGAATAGCTTCTATAAACTACAAAACTGCTCAGCCTGTGACTTCTACCTATATTGGGACAGTGTTTAGATTAGTCCCACTGTTCCCTTCTACCTAAGGATCCTCACTGACTTCAGGCCTAAAATACTTGACAACGTTCATTTAGTAAAAGCAAATTGAGGGCATGATTCCAACAGAAAAGCTCTTATTCCTGGCAGAATTTTCTTGTTCTCATTTCAGCAAAGACCAAAATCCAGTTCCAGGCCTAAAATGTTCTGTGTCATCTGTCATCCTGGTCTACAGTTTACTCAGTAGCCTTCCCATACTATCAGAAGCGAGGTGCCAGGAGTCTGACAGTCATAGGGTGACAGCTGATTTGTTCATTTATAGCTGTGAAACTGAGCTGGCACTGAATGTCTGAACAGCCGTTTACCCCTCTCTGCTGGGGCAGTGATACGGACACAAGTGAGGGGAATTTAGAACATTAATTTAAGACTAAGTCTGAAGCACCACTTGCCATGATATAACCAGTTTCCCCGCTCATGGATCAGAGCAGCTTGGTGTGAAGGAATCATAGTGCTAGAGGACACCAGACAAAATCCAGACCTGGGCTTGCAAAGAATACAGGACTGTGTAGGCGAGTGATCTCCCTCTGTTGGGGGAGGGATTGATGTAGAAGCTCCATGTCTGTCTAATGTATGTTCCCGTTACTCCTCCAGAGAGGAGACAGTTTTTAGCATAGGCACCTGCTCCTGGGACATTTATTGTCTGACCCCACGTCCTGGGAAATCTTGCTCTACATGCTGCTGTGGGCCCCAGTTAAACATCCACCATGTCCAACAGGGCAGATAGATGGAGCTCACAGGCAATCTCCTCCTCCTTGTTAGCTCTAATCAGCCGTTGCAAATGTTTCAGTCTGTCTGACAGAGAAGTGCCAGTCTCCTCCACCAGATGCTCATGACTTCCAGCCTATTCAGAAGGAAAGATGCACTACTGTCAAAGAATCACTTGCTCAACAGGAACAAAGCAAAGTTAGTCCCAGAGGGATGCTTTTTTTAAATTCGTCTGCTACCTCTGGAGACAGCCCAGGCTCTGAACCAGCAATCTGCTGGTGGTGCAGGCCAAGCACTTCCCTTCCCTTCCCAGAAAGATGGAGTACAGCTAGCAGTTTCACTACACAGCTCCCACCTTTAACTTGGGGGAGTGCTGGCTTGCTGGATCTCTTGTGCCACACCTTACTGTTACTATGCACAATAGCAAAGGGGACAGCGACAGCATGATGGACCGATCAGAAGAACACACACAAAAAACTAACCTTGTGTTTCTGGGCAATATGCTCCCAGCAGCCCACTTGTCCAGGACAGCTGGAGCCCATCTCCCAGAAAGGGAGAACTTCTCTAGAGAAAGTCACACACTTGATATTCTACCATTTAAAACATCTGTTATTCCCATGGCAAGTTCAGAACATCAATGTGTTTAGTGTTTGCCCAGAGCTCAGCAGAGGTAAAGCTCTATGTTCTTGCCAATACAACTCTCTTTTTACCTGTGAGGATGCAATCGTAGGTGTTTCACTCAGAGGATGGATAACCTGAGGTGAACAGACCAGGCTCTGAGGAAGATAGAGGGGAAGAGACAAGGAGCATGGGAGCTGTTCAGTGTCTTCTGCTAACCACCGGTGTAGCTGCTCCTCAAACCTAGAAAGAGACAAGGTCAGAGACACAAGTCAAACTGCAGTTTGGCTTTATACCCCCCTCCCCCCAAAAAAAATGGGTGCCTGAGGTCTGCTTGTCTGCCCCTAGAATCAGCCCAGTTTCTGACAGCTGAGGAGCACAGGACTAGAGGTGCGAAGGACACAGCAACTTTATGCAAAGGAGAGGGGATTGTCAGCAATAATCTGGATTCCTCCATGAAGCCACTAACACCCAGCTTCATACAACAGAAAAGCCTGTTCATGAATCCCGGCACCCGGCGAAGCCAGCAATGTATCCTCAAGGCAAGGGTCTAGGCAGCTGCTCCTGTCACTTACCTCTGGTGCTCTCTCTTCTCCAGCTCCAGATTAGAAGCCAAGCGCTCTGGTAGGAGCTCCTGGGCAGAGGCCACGTGTGTTAAATCGACTGTACTGGGAATCCTCATTTTCTGATCCCCCAGGCTGGCAACATGCTCACTGTGAGGCAGCACAATGGGATCATGTTTTGCAAATGACTGAGGAGAGCGTATCCTTGACCTGGAAGAGGGAAGTGTTTTAGAGGGATGGAGGAAAGCCAGAGCCGGTATTTCTCTGGCTGCTGGAAATCAGAAAGCCACGTAAGCCCTAAAGCTAAAGTGTACGTGGGATCTGAGTGGGGCAAGGAGTTGGTGGACCTCTCTACACAAGTGGAAAGATACCCCTGAGGCAGCGCATGCTACTTGGACTCTGAGGTCGCATCTACACTGCGCATTACCAAAACATGCCACAGAGGGGCCTCCCCGTGTGCAACCATCTCCCCGTGTGCAATATTCCACAATATTGTCTGTTTCCCATAATGTTTGCACTTTTCAACATGCCATAAACACACATGGCCTTCCTCACTGACATGTCTGTTTGCACAGCTGTGCAGTTTAGTCATGAGCATTCTGAACACAAGGACACATGATCCTGGAGTATCTGCAAAGCTGGAAGAATCACTGGACCAGTGAAGAACATTGCAATTCCTTGGAGGTCATGTGGCTGTAGGACAGAGCACGATCCAGTTCAAGGTTGTTGATGGCATACATGGAGCCTCTTTAACCCACGGCTTTACTGCAGTGGAGTCAAAAACAGATCCTGGCTCACTGCACAGCTGTATCACTGGTTGCCAGTCCCACGCACTCAGAATCTTCCTTGCCAACCACCAGATCTTCACAGCTGTTTACAGCAGGGGCCTATGACTTGGGCTCTTCGGTGGTACCCATGATACTTTGGGGTGATGGTGATTGGGTCTCTGCCAAGTATGATGTGCTGCCCTTTGTAAAAGTAGCAGGTCTGCAGTTCCACACAATCAACTGGTGACCTTGGCTTTCTGGTAAGCCTAATGCAAATTCTTGACTTTCTCATGGCACTCCAACTACTCCCTGTCATACCCCTTTCCTCTCTCATCCCCTGAACTATCTGCTTGTAGATATCAACATTTCTGCACCTGGTTCGCAAATGTGCCTGTACAGCCTCTTCCCCTGAAAGGTGCAGGAGATACAATATCTCCTGACTACTTTAGGCAGGAGCAAGTCTGGACCTGTTCAGGGTGCTAGCCAAGCCAGGTGAGCAGGAAAAGGAATTTCAAATATCAGTAGAACTTCAAATGGTGGCAGGAGAAGGGGGGTTTCCAGTCTATATGACCCCTGGGCAATGGAGTTCACAATGGTGACGAGAGCAGTCAGTGCAGAGCATTGTGGGGCAGCTGCTAGAGGACAGTGAAGGTTGACATAAGTCACGGTGTCTACACTCGTACTCTGTTGACTCATGTACATTGGCCATGGTCCTAGGCTACACAGGGAGGTGGTGTTACTATGTCAGTTTAATGAGGTGCTTACATCCATGGGAGACAAATTTAAAGATAAGAACATGCACAACTAGGTTGATTAGCCACTGATTTCATCCTCTCCATTTTGGAGAGAAGAAGATAGTGGTGAGTAAGGTGTGAGGCACACACTCCACTAGAGGAATGCCACCCCCACAAACACTAGCTTTGTTCCCTTGACATACCTGCTTCTACAATCACTCCCTTGGTTCTCTTCTTATCAAAGGGCCCTTTCCCTCTCCATCTAGCAAGAAGAAACAGAACCTCCCCTAGAATGCAACTGCTGGGAAATGCATTTAAAATAAGGGATGTAAATAAAAGCAGCTTTTAATCCAAGTTGACCAACAGCACAATGGTAACCTGCCTTCCACCATTTCATTAAAAGCATTCACTCTTCTAAATAGGGTAAAGAGCTCTAGTGCTGCAAGACACAACTTGTAAATTAATTTTCACGGAGAAGACAGCACGGGCTGTTCCTTTATGCCCAGCACAGTCTAACAGACATGTAATGGATAATGAAATTGGATACAACAGTAACATACTATTAGCCCTCTATCCAAGGCTATTACCCTCCTGGTAAATGATGTTACAAGACCTGATTAACATTATCTTCCTCTATATTTTGTGCCTCCAGAAGTAAATCATTTCATGTTTAGTACAAGTTAAAATTCTTTGATCTATTTCGTTACAACACACAAGAGAAGCTTTGGAAACACCCAACAAGTCTTTTCTGTGATCTCTGGATAGGGAGGTAATATAGGATGGAACTCCAAATAAAATATCTATTTTTCATTACAGACACATGAAGAGCATTGGGAAAACAAAAAACCCATTCTATGCCATCATGAAGACCCCATGCAATTCCCCTTTTTGCACAATGCCTATTAAATTAGCTAATTTGGTGCAACAGTCATTATGACAAATTTAAAAAATCATCTTGCCTTTTGTATCCCTGCTGGATCTCTTTCTGAGTTTGCACTCTGGCTTGCTCCCAGGAAAAAGGAAGAGTGAAAGTTTTTAAATGTTCCTTAAAGAAATAGACATATATCTGGCCATCTTCACTCACTGCTTCTATAAACAAAGAAAGAACAAGTCTGGATCAAAACAGGCTTTCAGCTTCAAGAAAAATACAAGTTTTGAAGATTGTAAGGAGTTACATCTGTTGAAAAGACAACTGCAGCACCGTAATTTTTAGGACTGATCTAATATCCCGCAAATTCCAGATCGAATTGTTGGGGGTTACTGTGAAATCCTGTTTAATTGGTCAACTAGTTAAATATAGTGTTTAACCACGTAAGCGATTAAAGTGGAGGTGGGAGAGGGCCCTGCTCCAGCCTGGCTGGACTGGAGGGCCAGCCCTCTAGGAATATTAAGTAGCAATTAATTTACTAGCGGGGGGCAGGGGCACCTCTTGTGTATTTCCAAGTTTGAACGCCGTGAGGAGCCCAGGGCCAATGGGAAGTCCTGCTGACTCCAGACTCCACACAGGCATTTCCGCTTTGAAATGCACAAGAGTCTCCAGTGGGGGCTCTTGTGCATTTCAAAGCAGAAACACCTCATGGAGCCTGGGGTCAGCTCCTGCCCTGGCCCCAGGCTCCATCCTCTTTGAAATGCACAAGAGTGCCCACTGGGGACTCTTGTACATTTGTGGAACCCGGGGTCAGCTGATCCCAGGCTCCATCCAGCATTTCAAAGCGGCAGCGCTGTAGATCCCAGACTCCACGCAGTGCTGCCGCTTAGAAACACCGCACAGAGTCCCCAGCTGATCCCGGGCTCCACGTGGCACTGCCGTTTTGAAATGCCACAAGCAGCCTGATGCCGGGATCCTCGAGGCATTCAAAGTGGCAGCTGGATGCTTTTAAATACCCCCTTCTTCTGTCCCCCCACTTGCTGCCTCCATCTGATAGAGGCAGCAGGGAGGAGACGGGGGGGGGGGGGGGGAAAAGAGAAAACAGGCAACCAGACATTGCTACACCCCTCTCCTGCAGGTAGGGGCTGCTCCAGCCCCTCCTGCCTGTGCTCTCTGCCCCCCAGGGACCACTGCTGCCCACAGCAGGCCCTATGGGGTGGAGCATCACCCATTAACTGGTTAACCTTTAACATACCTAACTGATTTATTTTTACTTTTAACATGCACCAAACCACACACCATGCAATGCATCAATGCTCAATTTAGAAATGAAGACTGTTGTTTCTCATGCAGAAAACACTGAATCCATCTATAATTTCTTTGGAAGTAAGTCGGCCCAAAGAGATTTGTACCTCGCTCCTCTTGCCAGCAATGCATATACATAGCAGCAGGTTTTACTGGTTTATCTAGAGCTAACTAGTTGCTAGAGTTTACCCACCTGCTTTAACCCTTAGTCTGAGATGTGTCCACAGTGTGCTCTCAAATACCCCGCAAAGTAATCATCAACCATCTCAAGCCTGAGAGGAGAGTCATATCTATGCTCACCACAGTAACAGTAATGAATCATTATTTCTGCCTTTTGCTTATCTCATTGAATCATCACCCACATTCTGGCCTTATTTCTGATTTCAGGAATATGACAAAACAGTAATATTAATCACTAGTTCTAAGACTGTGCTAATATTGGATATCCATAATTAATTCTCAGTGAACATCCTCAAACCCTGAACCCAGGAATTAGATGCAGGGAAGCATGATACATGATCACTGGCAACAAGTCTGAACAAGAACTGGACAATGTCACTGGGCAAAATAATGCCTGGTCATTTCAACAGTGGGGCCAAATTCTGCATTCAGACAGGTGCATGGAACCTCTGCTAATCTGAATGAACTAAATGTATTTGTGTAAAGCCAAAATGGGTTTATACCTTAACTGAATTTTCACTAGATCGGAGAGATTCTGGACATGTTCTTTCATGCAAGCACAAGGAGCAATGCTTCAGAGAGTTCTAACCCGCCATGGGCTCAGGAAGAATGAGTGCTATGGCTGGTCAATGGCTGTGCAGAAAATGCCAACACACTCATGATCATCCCAGACAATTTGCCATTTTAATGGTATAAACTGCCTCTAGAGACCATGGACAGATTGCAACAAAGTGCAGATTGAATACCTGGTATGACGGGCAGCCGGGGGCGTTTCCAGTCTCTGAGCTTATGATCAATGCACAGTGCAAAGATCTCATCCCAGGGGATCTCGTCAACTGCAGGTCCCTCATCTCCTGAGCTTGCCAACAGACTTCTCTGCCATTTGCAATAGGTTCTGCTCAGCAAATTCTCCACTTGAGACTGAAGTATCGGCTTGGTCTGGGGAGAGCTGGCGATCTGGGAAACATACTGGAAAATCATGGAGCAGACAGGATGCCAGGGAGCTGGACAAAAACAGCATATGCAACTGGTTAGCATCTTCTCCATTGAGCGACTGTGTCCAGCAATGGATACTACAATCAGGAAGGAGCAGCAATGCCTAGTCCACCACACTCTGGGGGAGGGGTCACCAAACTCAGCTCTGCTGATACACCTCAGCCTGAACCTGCTACAATCCCTTCTCTCCAGGGCAGGGCCTAGTCTGAGCAAAGATCATGATCAAGCTAATGTGAATAATGCAGGAAACACATTCACTCAGGCTGCAGAACAAACTGAGATTTACAGATAGATCTTGATACAAAAAGGCTGAAGAGTATTAAAGGCGGAGAAGAGATCTGTTGGTAGATGGACAGACTTTGTATCCCTACACAAGCCTCATGAGATGCAGCTGTTGTTCTGCCCACTGTGAACTACATACCCCCTTGAGGAGGAAGGTCCATGTGTGGGATCTGGAAGGACAGCACTGCCTTCCTTAGCCAGCCCAGGTGTTCCAGTGTGTTCCACATGAGGTGAGGAAGCAGCTTGTTGCCTCCTGACTCCACGAACTCAGTGACAGGCCAGGACTGGTCACAGAGCTGTTCTGAGGAAACCACACCAGACAGGAATTGAAGTACACTGTTGTACAGCTCAATGATAGCACTGGGATCTTGGGAGGCCAGGCCGGCCGAACGTCTCTCCTTTTGGTCATGGTAGAAGCGCCCGCTGAACTCACGGCTAAGCCCATCCTCAATGAATTGCTGGAGGGTCTGGCAGCTGAGCTCTGCAGAGCTGGGGCACTGGGAGAGCAGCCATCGCACTGCCTCGGAGAGCTACGATACAAACATTGACACAGTTATTTCAGCCAGGACATTTCAGAAGCTCTGCTCAATATTAACTAATGACACTGAGGACTCGATCCTGCAATTCCACTGGTTTCACAGAGCAGCCCCTGAATAAGTCCATGACACATTGCAAACAGATACCACAGCAACAACTGCGACTTTCACAGAAGCAACTGCTCAATTTTGGATGATGCAATGGACCACTTGGTGATTGCCCATTCTGTTCATTCCCTGTAGGGCAGTGTTTCCCAACTGGTGCTCCGCGGAACCCCGGGCTTCTGCGAAGCCAAAGTAAGCATTCCGCGAGAATGCGGCACTCCCCCACCCCCTCTTAAATAGGCAGAGTCTACTTGGCGGGGGTTTTTTTTGCTTGACAAATTTTACCCTGGCAACCCCAGGGTCTCCTTGAAATTCTTTTAAGCTGAAAAGGGTTCCGTGGCCAAATAAAATTGGGAAACACTGCTGTAGGGCACATGATATTGGCCAGTGTGGGAAGACAGGATACTGGGCTAGATGGACGTTTGGTCTGATCCAATATGGCCGTTCTTATGCTTTTATTTTGTGGCATCATCAATTTACTCTATCTCCATGAAACCACCTTATTTCCCAGCCCACACAACCATATCACAGTCAGAAATGAAAACGGGTGTTGGCACAGAATCCATTGGTGACTGTTCCCAATTGTTTTCCAGAATAGGGTTTTGAATTCTGCTTTTCAGGCAGCGTGGCTCCACCCCGAGCCTTGGCCGTGGTGACTGGATTCATCTGCAATTCCCCAAACAGAAAGAAGCTGACAGCAAAGGGCTCTAGAAGACAAGAGCATTCTGAGATCCCATTGCTGAAATCTGAACTCAGCCAAGGTCACAACAGAAATAAAGGTACGGATGTAAAGAAAAGGTAATTTAGCCCCTGGAACCGATTATAACAACATGTCGGGGATCCTCTGTCACTTGGAGTCTTTAAAACTTGATGGAGTGTGTTTTCTAAAGATACTCTCTAGCTCCACCCAAGTTCCTGGGCTTCATGCAAGAACCACTGGGTGGTTTCCTCTGGCTTGTGTTACCAAAGGCATTAGATGAGATGATCCTAATGGTCCTTTTACGCCCAGAATCTATTTTTTCTATATAAAATGCAACTGGAAGAACAGGAAATATACTGGGTACATTCTGATCCTTTCAGACCCTCTCATGGAAGTTGCCAAACAAAGACCTAACAGTACACTAGTTCCCCTTTCCCATGTGTGGGAAGGACCAAAGCTCTTCTCCAATTCAAGGTACAGGATATTGGGAGGTGGATAGAGTATGCAAAGCAATCAACTGAGCACGACATTCTGACGTACAGGATCCTTTCCAGCTCAGGACCCAGATCCTAACGATCTGACAATTTCCAAGTACATAAAATGTTGCAAGTAGAAAGGACAAAAATAGCTCGTTAACCTCTGAAGTTAGGACAGGAAGCAATGGGCTTAAATTGCAGCAAGAGAGGTTTAGTTTAGGAAAAACTTCCTGGTAGAGTAATTAAGCACTAGAATAAATTGCACAGGAAAGTTGTTTAATCATCATCATTGGAGGTTTATAAGAGCAGGTTAAACAAACACCAGTAAAGAATGGTCTAGAGATAATACTTAGCCACGAGGACAGGTATTAGGGTTCTGGCCTAGATGACCTTTGCAAGTCCCTTTCACTACTATAGTTCTATGTTAGAAATGTTTGCCCTGAATCCACTGTAACATTGCTTGCTTAAATAGCAGAGACATCCCCGTTAGCCAATATAAGCTAGAGACAGTTATAGATTATATTATCCTGCCACTGAAGACAACAGTGCTATATCTTAAATACCAGACAGGGCAGATTTTGTACAATTAATGGTGTGGGTCTCCAGACCAAACAGAAAAGCGGCAGGAATAATGGTGGATGGCCAAAATGCAGGGCAGAATTGAAGTTGAGAGTGGAGACTTAGCTGAAAATGCTTGTGCTATTTTACTAATATTTTAAAGAACAGTATCTTCTGAAACTACTCTAGCAAAATTCCGCTCTGGCCAAAAGTTGCTTTAGTAGGACCTAAGTCTTCTGGACATAAACTATGAGAAAGTTCAGTTTTAGCAATGGGAAAAACAACTCACAAAACTCAGAGTAGCATCTTAAAATGAAGAGCTATTTATAATGTGAAGAACATTCCCCATCAGATGTGAACCGTTAAGGTAGTAGAGATGTTAGTGATAAGTTTCTAAATATTTAATTTTGAAACTACTGCTCTTACCCTGTTGGTGCCTTGCAAGTCACTAATAGACTCTGGAATCTCAACAATAATGTAGTCTGAAATGAGCTGAGCTGAAATCAAGTCCTGCAGCATCAAACCTTTACAGGAAAAGCAATAGCTGAAATAGCATGATTTTTCATTATTCACAGACAGTATAAAAAAATGAAATTCTCCTATTCAACCTAATCCCACTGACAACAGAGATTTACTACTTCTCTAACAACAAAATATTACATGCAAAGTAAAACTGAAATCATTGAAAAGAAAATCCTACTACAGGCAGTTCCCGGGTTACGTACAAGATAGGGACTGTAGGTTTGTTCTTAAGTTGAATCTGTATGTAAGTCGGAACTGGCGTCAGCCGCTAATTCTCCTATTCAACCTAATCCCACTGACAACAGAGATTTACTACTTCTCTAACAACAAAATATTACATGCAAAGTAAAACTGAAATCATTGAAAAGAAAATCCTACTACAGGCAGTTCCCGGGTTACGTACAAGATAGGGACTGTAGGTTTGTTCTTAAGTTGAATCTGTATGTAAGTCGGAACTGGCGTCAGCCGCTGCTGAAACCG